ATTTGTATATGTCCTTACTCACTAACAAAAAAACCTGAATCCATAGTTAATGCCTCCAAAACCAACCAAATAAAAAACAATCCAGCAGAAGGGTAGCATGGGTTTATTGGTGTTCTCTACCAAAGATTTCAGAAATGATGCCAAATGTCCATCATCTCTTCTAGGAAACACACCTCTTCCTGTGAGGTCAACATCATTCAAACACTAAAGCCAAAGATCTTACAAAGGATAACTATTTCTCATCCACATACATAGGCCCCGACAAAATTAGCGAATTGACCATGTGGGACTGATTCTAAGCATGCAAAGCTGGCTCAACATTTGGAAATTGACTGTAATTCACGTTATTAACATGCAAAAAAGAAAAAAATCACATGTCATATGATTTTCATAGGTCTTTGATAAATCCAACACAAACAAGAGTCTTCTGAGAGGCAGGAACCGAACCCCAACTGAGAAAATGCCTCCATAATATTGGGCTGTACACAAACCTATGGGGCATTTTTTTTAATTAGTGGTTGATATGAGAGAGCCCAGATCATTGTGGGTGGAGCTGTCCCTGAGCTTGTGGTCCTGGGTTCTATTAGAAAGTGAGGCTGAGCAAGCCATAAGGAGCATGCTGGTAAACAGCCCTGCTCCATGGTCTCTGCATCAGTTCCTGCCTCCAGTTCCTGCCCTGCTTGAGTTCCTGCCCCAAATGTTTTTGATGAAGAACTGTTATATGGAACTGTGAGTGAAATAAACTCTTTACTCTTCAAATGGCTTTTGGTCATGATGCTTCATCACAGCAGTAAAAAGCACCTGAGACAAATTGGTATCAGGAGAGTTGGGTATTGCTGTGACAGACCTACCCATGTTATTTTGGGGAGGACTGTGGAAAGACCTTGGGACTTTGGCCTCGAAAATTCATTGAGGTATTGAGAGCTCAGTGGGCTGTTCTCTAGGAGCTTAGACAATAAGAATGTTGAGGGAAAGGCAGATGATGGAAGCCTGGCTTGTGAAGTTCAGGGGGATGTTTAAAAACTGTCTCAGGGCCATTGTTATTTTTAATAACGAATCTGTGGTATATGCTTAGCTGGGCTGCAGAATCAGCTGTGAGTAACAAGAGACCAGCACCATGAAGTGAAACCTTTGCTCTGTTGGGACAATTGATTCTGGTTAGCTGGAGCTGAGGAATTTGCAATGATTTCTAGGAAGAGACCAGCACCACCGAGGTGAAATCTTCTGGGAAGTGTTTGTTCAGGGTCAATGCATAGAAGCTGTATTCTAGAGGTTGCCTAGGTTTTACCTTGTGCTGGCAGCCAAATTTGTTAATGTGTAAGAGATTTCCAGGTGGTATTCATTTTTACATGAAGGGGTCATTGGAGAGCAGTTGAGGTTTGGCACCATGAAGAGGGCCTAGAAGGGGCTACTGGTGAAAGTGCAGCCTAGTTGTAGTTACAGACCCCAGCATTTTGGAGATGGCAGTATCACAGGAAGGCCTCCAAGAATAGGAGCAGCCATGGAGTAGAGATGGCCCAAGCTGTGTGTACTACAGAGAGGAGAGGCAGGAAAGTGCCTTCGGAGGAGTCCAAAAGATTGTGTACTCACAATCACAGACATTGGGTGTTGTGTTATTTACACTGTTGGAATTTGGTTTTTCTTTGTTTAGATTGTGCCCTGGTTATTCCCTTGTGCAATAAAACATTTAATATTTTTGAATTTACTGTGGCTCAGAGTTGAGAGACTTTGAACTTTGGAAGATACTTTGGAGTTTTACTGGGACTTTGGATTTTAAAAGTGACTTTGGAGTTTTAAAGACTTTGAATTTGCAAGACTGTGGGACTTTTTAAGTATGTATGTCTTATAATGTTGACATTTATGTGTGATCTTGGGGATAAACAAGAAACGAAAGGTTATAGCTTAACAGCAATGTGTTTATGTGTCAAGCTGACAAGGTATCAATTGCGCTGACTAGTTTTATGTCATCAGACATAAAACTTGACACAAGCTAGAGTCATCAGAGAGGAGGGAGCCTCAGCTGAGAAAATGCCTCCATTAGATCCAGTTGTAGGGCTTTTTCTTAATTAATGATTGATGGGGAGAGCCACCCCACTGTGGTTGATACCATGCCTGGGCTGGTGGTCCTGGATTATCTAAAAAAGCAGACTGAGCAAGCCATAAGAATCAAGCCATTAAGCAGCACTCCTTCATGGCCCCTGCATCATCTCCTTCCTCCAGGTTCTTTCCCTGATTGAGCTGCCTCCTGCCTTGGATTCCCTCAATGGACTGTTGTGGTTTAAAAGAAAATGACTCCCAAAGGGAGTGGTACTATTAGGAGGCATAGCCTTGTTGGAGGAAGTGTGTCACTGTGGAGGCGGACTTTGAGGTCACTTTCTCAAGATTCCCTCAGTATGCCAGCCAGTAAACTTCCTGTTGTCTGCAAGAAGTAACACTCTCAGCTCCAGCACCACATCTGCCTGCATGCTTCCATGCTCCCTGCCATGATCAAAATCAGATCAAAAAACTGAACCTCTGAAACTGTGAGTGAGTCACCCTCAGTTAAATTTTTTTTTTATATGAGTTGCTGTGGTCATTGTGCTTCTTCACAGTAATAGAGAATCCTAAGACAGAAGTTGGTACTGGGAATGGAGTACTGTTGTGATAGGCTGGACCATGTGTTTGTTTGGAGAAATTTGGGCTTTGGTACTTGGGTTATGAAAGCAGTAGAATGTTTTAAGCACTCCTTAATGGGCCATAATAGCAGGAGCATGGAAGACAGGAGGTGATAAGAGCTATTTGAATTGTTGGGGGATTCAATAAAGAAATCTCAGAGAAGAATTTCAATATGTTGCCTAGAGATTGTTCTTGTGATATTTTGATGAAGAGAATGGTTGCCTTTTGTCCTTGACCGAAGAGTCTGCTTGAGGCTCAAGTAAAGAATTTTGGATTAATTTCATTGGCAGAAGAAATCTCAAACAACCTATTACAGACTCTTGTCATGTGAATATTAGTGGTAACTCTAATGAAGATTTATAATGAAAAGTAGCAAGCTGAGCAGGGTAAATTACAAAAAGTACCTTTTGAGGAGAAAAAGAGCACCAGGAAGTGGAATGGAGAGAAAGTCTAGATTCAAGAAGATAAAAAAAAATTAAATGGAAAAAAGCAAGTAGTAACCTCAGGGTAAGATCCCACCCCACAAATTTTCAACTTGTGGAAAGGAATTAAAGAAAAGTTTAGAGCCAGGTGTGGTGATGCATGCCTTTAATCTTAGCACTGAGAAGACAGAGACTGGCAGATATCTGAGTTTGAGGCCAGCCAGGTCTAAAGATCAAGTTCAAGGACACCCAAACTTTGGCAGTAAAGGAAAATACAAAGCTGGTGAAGATGTAATTAAACAAGGGAGCCATGTTCCAGTTCTAGTAAACAGCTCCCCTTCTTGATCATCATGGACTGAACCTCTGAAACTGTAAGCGAGCCTCCCTCAATTAAATGTTTTCTTTATAAGAGTTGCCACAATCATGGTGTCTCTTTACAACCATAGTAAACCCTAACCAAGACAACTGTGATTCAGGATGTGTAAACCAAATAAATCCTTTCCTCCCAAGTTGCTTTTGGTTGTGGTGTTTCATCACGGCAGCAGAAGAGTAACAGGCACCCACTCATGATAAAAACATCTCAGCAAATTAGGAAAAGGTGGAACATGTTCCAACCAAGCACAGAGGCCATCATACTTAGGACAAGGACTAGATATCTTCTTCCTAGGTTGGGGCTCTTTTCCTTCTAGGAGTCTAAGATTCTCTTTCATCACTTCTATTTAAAGTCATCCTAGAAATTCTAGATAATGGAATGAGACAAAGAGACAAAACATCAGGCAGGAAGAAATGAAGTCATATGACATGGTAAAAGGATGACATGGAGATTCTTCTGGAACTCACTGGTAATACGTCAAGGCTTTCAGGTACAAAGACAACTGCTTTCCTGTCTACCAGAAGTGGACATGTAGAATTTAAAATAGAAAACGTAGGACTTTATCCACTGAGCCATCTTGCTCACACCAAATCAAGTAACTATTAAGTAATTACCTCTCTTTTAGTAAACATTTATGTCAATGAATATTTGTAGCTATTTTGAAGATAATATAGCAAAGTTGCAAATTCTTCAATATATTACATCATAACACAAAGTTAAAAGAAGTACTAACAACAAGGTTGCTAAACAAGAAGAATGTGAATGTGTGGAACGGGGCTAGAAAACAGAAAAACCAAAATGGAGGTACTTCTTTTTTTTATTGGGTGGTGAAATGATGGATAATTTTACAAAAATAAAACAATGATTTCCAAAACACCTTCCAAAATAAACTGTCATTGTGGTTTTAAAAAGTAAGTAAATGTCCCATTGAAAGACCTGGATAAATCCAGACCCCCCCCCAGCAGCAAAAAATAGAGCCAAAAATCTAAGCAGGGAGAGAAGAATCAGAAATCTAGGATTAGCCAGTTCAGTGCCTCTGTTTCAGGAACTAGCTGAAGATAAAGTTAGATTGTAATCTTGAGAATAATCTTGAGAAACAGGGAGTTACCCCCTATGTGATTATCACTGGTATTTTCGGAATTTTCAATGACGCCCTCCCTACCCCCTTTGGATTACTGGGTTGTGGTTTCTTCCCTTAAAAGCCCCTTCTCCCAGCTACTCGAGGTGGAACTCCTCCCCTGCGTGGGTTATGAGTCTCGGGCCCCAGCGCTGGTACCTGTCAATAAACCTCGTGTGATTGCAGCAAGGACAGTCTCTCCTGAGTTACTGGGGGGAGGTGAGGAGTTGTGTTATCCTGAGACTTGAGAGTCTCCCCACACCGGGGGTCTTTCACCATAAGGCTGTGTTTTAGGACCACTCATGTCTTATGTGGGTCAGCTGTGAAGAAGCTCACTCTCTTACTCCTTAGCTTTTGATAAACGCTTACATGGCCCACACATTAAGTCGTGTTTGGGTCACATACTTAAACTCATATAACAGGATATAAGTACCTCTTTCTGGAAAGATGTTGTTTTTGGTGAGTTTCACACTTTTGGGCCTTGGGTAACGATCATCTATGCCCATGATCAGGTTGCGGAAAAACACATCAAATTTCTTTCTGCTCTCAGCATTGATGGTACCCGCAACCGTCCACACCAAAGAGAAGAGAAACAGCCCTTGCAGCCAGAGGAAGATCTGCTGACTTGACAGACCTTCAAAGAACTCGCTTTCTTCCTCCTCCACGCTCCTGATCTCATCTGAAAGTGAAAGAAAGGGAAGCTTAGGTCAAGAAGAATGCTCGGTGTGTAAGGGATGAGCTGGTGGGTTCTTGTAACATGACGGCCAGCTTGTTGGGGTTTCTGTCCCACCCGGTACCCCAACAAGCCAGCAAGCCCCAAGGAAAATCAATCACACAGAGATCTCTGTAAGTTATAAAGCTGATTGGCGCATTAGGTCAGGCTACTTATTAGCTCTTATAACATATATTACCCCATTATCCTTATCTATGTTAGCCACACGGCTCAGTACCTTTTTCAGCTGGGCAGGTTACATGCTGTCTCTTTGGTGGTCTGCACAGGAATGGCGGAGGGAGCTTTCTCCTCTCTTCTCTCTAGCCTTCTCCTATTCTCATTGCCCCGCCTCTACTTCCTGTCTGGTTGACCTGCCTATACTTCCTGCCTGACCAATCAGTGTTTTATTAAAATACATGATTGACAGAATACAGACAATTCTCCCACACCAGGTTCTGCCTCTGAGGGGCCTGGAAGGTGACACTGGATCCTTTATCACAAACATGTATTCACACACATAGTGTCTATATACTCATTTAGGTGTGTATGTCTGTGTTCATGTGTGTTCAAATGTCTAAGGGTACAGGTGGAGGTCAGAGGTGATGTTCAGTGTCTGCCTCAATTGCTCTCTACTTCCTTTTTAGAGACAGGGTCTCTCATTGAACCCGAAGCTTTCCAATTTGGCTAGACCAGCTGGCCAGTGGGCTCCAGGGACGTTCTTTCTCTACCTCTGAGTACTGGAATTATAGGCATTAGCTACCATGCTTAGCTTTTTACCTAGGTGCTGGGAATCTGAATTCAGGTCCTCATACATGCATAGTAAGAACTTCATAGACTGAGCTATATCCTTGGCACTTATTTTTTTCTTGTTATTAAACATAACATAAAGTTTGCCATATTAACCGTTAAAGTGCACATTTCAGTAGTTTTCAGTGCATTCACACGGGCAGCATCATTACTATTCATATTCAGTTCTCCTCTATCCAGAACTGGAGCTTGGTACCACTCACAATAACTTGTCCTCTTCTTCTCCACTCCTTACATGGCTAGCATCCTACTTTCTGTCTCCATGTGCGACTACCATAAACACATTATAGAAGTCAGTTATTTTGTGACTGGTTTATTTCACTTAGCATAATATCTTCAGGCTTCACCAATTTTGTACTTGTCAATGATTCCTTAATTTATTTTTGTTACATTATAATTTTATTTATTTTATTTTATGTTTAAGGATGCATTGTAGAATAGAATATTTGTTTAACTAAGTAAGGATGTGTTACATTTGTGTTGCAGAATAATTGTTTAACTGTTTAAAGATGTGTTTGATTTGTTTCACCTTGCCTGCCCAAGGCACCTGATTGGTCTAATAAAAAGCTGAAAGGGCCAATAGCTAGGCAGTAGAGGGATAAGCGGGGCTCGTGGGCAGAGAGGATAAGTAGGAGGAGGAATCTAGGTTTCAGAAGAGAGAATAATGGAGAAAGAGAAGGAGCCAGCCAACCAGGCAGCCAACCAGGCAGCCAACCAGACAGCCAGCCATGGAAGAAGCAGGGAAGTAGGAATACAGAATGAAAGAAAGGAAAAGTCCAGAGGCAAAACATAGATAAAGAGAAACAGATTAAAATAAATTATAGGAACAAGTGAGACAAGACTAAACTAAGGCCAAGCATTCATAACTAATAATACTTCTCTGTGTCATGGTTTGGGGGCTGACAGTCCAAGAAAGCCTGTTACATGGATGTTTTCCCTAGATGTGTGTATGTGCACAGTCCACATGTCTGGTGCCCTTGGAGGTCAGACGAGGGTGTTAGATTCCCTGTAACTGAAGTTATAGATGGTTGTGAGCTGCTATGTGGATGCTAAAACCGGACTCAGGTCCTCTGCAAGAGCAACAAGTGCTCTTAACTGCTGGCCCTTCTCTCCGCCTCCAGGATAGTTTGAATGTTATTGGTCCCTCTAAGCTCCTAGGGAGTGGCGGCATTAGGAGGAGTGGCCTTATTGGAAGAAGTGTGTCACTGTGAGTGCCAGCCTTGAAGTCCCCTTTGCTCAAGCTGTGCCCAGTGTCAGGACACTTCCTGTTTCCTGCAAGTCAAGATGGTAGGACTCTGCTCCTTCTCCAGCACCATGTCTGCCTCCATGTCACCGTGTCCCACCGTGATAACAGTGGACTAAATCTCTGAAAATGTAAGCCCCCCCCCCAATTAAATGTTTTCCTTTGTAAGAGTTGCTGTGGTCATGATGTGTCTTCACAGCAATAGAAACACTAAGACAATCCTCAATATTTACTATACCAAAGCAAATTATGTTTCATTGTGTGATTATACCGCCTTTTTATCCATTCATCTGTTGTTGGAGAGTCTGAATGAGGATGGGCATATAAATATCTGATCAAATTTCTGCTTTCAGTTAATGTGAGTATATATGTAGAAGCTAGAATACTGATCACATATGGAAGGTCTATTTTTTTTTTTCAAAGAAACCACCAAAATATTGCGACAGACAAGTTGCATTGCTTTAGGGTCCCAGCAACAGTCCACAAGTCCATAAGGGTTCCAATTTCTTCATCCTCTCAGACGCTTGTAGCTTATTTATTTATTTTTATTTGCAGCCATCCTGACAGGCATGAAAAGCTATCTCCATCACTGTGGCTTTGATTTATATGTCCCCAGTGGTTAGAGATGACAAACCTTTTCATGTAATTCCTGACCATGTGTAACTTCTTGGAGAAATGTCCATTCTAGTCCTTTATCTATGTTTGTACTGTTTGTATTTTTGTGCTGAATGAACAAAATATAAAGTGTTTCTTTATACATCCTCTATGTTAATTCTTTGTATGTGCATGTGTGTGTTCCTGTGGCTGTGACTGCACTTATATGTTCTGATGTTTATGCACATACATGATGGAGGTCAACCGTGGCTGACCTTTCTCAGGTGCTACCCACATTGGTTATATATACAATATTATGTATACAATTTTCTGTCTGAGTGTATGCCTGCAGACCAGAAGAGGTCACCAGACCCCATTACAGATGGTTGTGAGCCACCATGTGGTTGCTGGAAATTGAACTCAGGACCTTTGGAAGAGCAGGCAATGCTCTTAACCTCTGAGCCATCTCTCCAGCTCCCCACATTGTGTTCTTGAGACAAGGTCTTTTATTGGTCTGGGCTCGCTGGTGAGGCTGGCCTGGCCCATCAGTGCCCCTGTATTCAGTGTCTCTGCCCCTCCAGCACTGAGGTTACAAATTTGTGCCGCTATGCCCTGCCTTTCCACATCACTTCTGAAGACTGCACTCAGTTCTTCTTGTTTGTATGGCAAATAGTTTATCAACTGGACAGCTCTCTAGTCCTTGATGCTAATTCTTTTATGATTTTTTAATTTTTGAGTTAGAGTCTTACCATATAGCTCTGGTTTGTCTAGAATTCCATATGTAGAACAGGCTGGTCTTGCACTCACAGAAATCAGACTGGCTCTGCCTCCAAATGCTGGAATTTAAGTCATGAGCTACTATGCCTGGTGCCTGATAGTAATTTTTTATTAGGCATACAATTTGAAAACAATTTTTATTCTGTGTGGCTTGACCTTTTACTTGGTAATGCATTTTGATGCAGACAGATTTTAAATTGTAATGACGTACAGTGTGTTTATTCTTTTTATGTTTGGCCCATGTCTTTGATACTACATCCAAGAATTCATTGCCAAGTCAAAAGTCAAGAGCTTTTGCCTCATTTTTTTAAAATTCATAATAGGTTTTATTTTCTGTTTAGGTCTTTCATCCATTTTGAGTTGATTTTTGTTTATATTAGGTAATGATCCACTTTGGGGCTTTTTTATTTGCTTATTTGTTTGTTTTTGTTTTGTTTTGTTTTAAGACAGGGTCTCTCTACATAGTCCTGGCTGTCCTGGAACTCACTAAGTAAACCTGAATGGCCTCAAACTCCCAAAGATTTGCCTACCTCTGCCTCCTGAGTGCTGAAATTAAGGGCATGTGCCACCACTCCTGGACTAATTTTTTAAAAATTATTTTGATATTATTTGTGTGTTTATGTGTGTGAGTGTGGGTGTGTGCACACGAGTACAGATGCCCATGTGTGTGTATGTGTGTGAGTGTGGGTGTGTGCACATGAGTACAGATGCCCGTGTGTGTGTATGTGTGTGAGTGTGGGTGTGTGCACATGAGTACAGATGCCCGTGTGTGTGTATGTGTGTGAGTGTGGGTGTGTGCACATGAGTACAGATGCCCATGGAGGCAATAAGAGGGCTTTGGATTCCCTGGGGCTGGAGTTGTAAACAGATGTGAGCCTCTTGACATGGGTGCTGGACCCTGAACTTGCGGGTCCTCCACAGGAACAGCACACGGCAAGTACTCTTAACCACTACATCATTTTTTCAACCCTGCCAACTTCATTCTTTTGCAGGAAGAATCGAGTTTACCTGGTACTGTTTATTGAAAAAATTGTCCTTTCCCATGGATGGTCTTAACACATATAAGTCAAAATGATTTGGCCATTTATGGGAGGATTTGTTTCTGTGCTTTATATTTCTCTGCAGGCCCCTTGCTAGTCTTTATGCTAGTACAATACCATTTGGATGACGATAGCTTTTAATACGATTTAAAGTCAGGAGGAGCAAGTTATCTGACTTTGGTCTTCTTCATGAGTGTTTTGGAAGAATGGGGTGGAGGCTATGTGTCTAGAATGCCAGCACTCCAGGGGATCAGGCAGGATGATCATGAATTCAAAGCCAGTTCTGATACACACACACACACACACACACACACATGCATATAAACATACATAAGTACATACGTATGTATATCTTATTACTTATAATATATAGACATAGGTGCATGTGCAAACATACATACACACACACATCCCTCTTCCATGACCTTAACTCAAAACACAGAATCTAAATTTAATTATGAGAAAATAACAGTTCAGTGTCAAGAGGCAAAGTTGTCAAGGACAGGAAAAGACAGAAAATGTCCCAGATGGGCGCAAACTGTGGGCATATGTCAATTAAATGCAGTGTGGCACTGATGTATCCAGCAGTACAGCACCAATGCCCTTGCTCATTCTAACAATACCTTGGTCTCTCACTGGCCTGGAAGTTGCTAATTTTGCTAGTCTGGTTGGCCACAGGGACCTGAGGAGGTCCGGGGACAACCTCAGTCCTCACCTTCTACCTCGACACAGCGTTTCTTGTTGCTCACCCCGCATGTTAGTCTAGCCAGCACACAAGCATCCGTAGCTTCTCCCATCATCTCGGTACAAGAGCACTGGGATTGCAGGCGTGCTACATGTCTAGCTTTACGTGGGTCCTGGAGATTTGAACTTGGGTCTCCGTATTTATGCAACAAGCACTCTACCCACTGGGCTATCTCTCGAGTACCCAGAGTATAATTTATAAAAGTCAAGCAATATTTATAAAGTTCCTCACTCCACTGTCAGCTATGTTATCTTTTTAGTGTACACTTACAATGTTTTTTGGAAAAATAAGCTGAGAAAGTATGTTTGGGACCAGAATCTGTGAAGAAACTCTGTCTGGGTTTGAGTTATCTCATGCCCTGGAAGAGCAGTGGTATCCGGTGAGAGCTCTCCAAATGCACACGTCTTCTGTCATCAGCAGTGGATGTCAGTGAAGCCTAACTTACGTGACAGCAGTTATGGAAACGTGATTGCACCTCAGGGACACATGATCACAGAACCATTGTCTCCTGGAGAAGGTTCCTGGTTTTGAAATTGGTATGGTTAGCTCTTTCCTAAAGTATTTGTGCTGGGAATTTAGGTATCTGTAAATTTTCTTTCTTTGTGTGCATATGTGTGCTTGTGTGCATGTTCCTCTGTGTGTGGGTGCATGCATGTGTGTGGCATGCCTTTGTGTGTGTGTGTATGAATGGAGGTCAGAGGTTAACCTTGGGTGTTGTTCCTCAGGTGCCATCCACGTTGTTTTATTGAGGGAGGGCTCTCATTGGCCTAGAAGTCGCTGATTGGCCAGTGAGACCCGAGGATCCAGCTGTCTACACCTTTCCGGTGCTGGGATTACACTTGTGCACCACCACACCTGACCTTTTTATGTAGTTTCTGGGGATCAAACTAGGATCTTCACGCTATTGTGGTAAGCGTTTTTGAGTAAGCATTCACTGAGCTATCTTCCCAAACCCCATAAGTTTCCTTAACAAAAGAAAAATTTTCTATTTTTCCAGGCAGTTTTTTTTTTTCCAGAGATACATTCAAATGTGTCATTAAAATCCCCTCATGGAGGAGAGGCTTCTCTGTGTGGATGAGGAAGCTTAGGTGGGAGAAGGAAGGAAGAGATAAACATTGTGTGATAACAAATCAACAAGACAAAACACAAGGTTCTTTCCATAAGTTCCTGTTAGTTCCGCTATCTACAGCTGAAAGTTCTTGATAAACATCTGGTCCCACCTTAACTCAAGAGGAAGAAAAGAGGGATGAGGGTAAAAGCAGGAACCAAGACACAGCCAGCCCCACATGGACTCAGAATCATGGAGGACACTTACCAAGCAGAGAGGAGTACAGCCGCATCATGGAGAAGGCAAGGTGGATGGGAGACGTTTGCACCACAAACTTGCCATGGAGGCGATTAAAGTCCAGGCAGGGCTGGACAAGCCACGTGAACATGTCCTCCACCTGAGAGGAGAACGGTACGGGAGACTGTGGTGACAGGAGCTTGACCCACCTTGGAGGCTGGAGAGGCGGGTGCAATTGCTGGCTACTTTTGAGGGCTGTTTCAAAATATGCATCCTTCAGATTTGGTGTTTTGCTTTTTTCCTAGCTACGGGATGCTCTCCCAGGATGCAAGGCTGCAGCAGTGAGTGATGGCTCCTAGGCTATCACGTGACCACCCGGGCAAGCAGCTCATCCTTTAGAGTGCACTGTGGAGCTAACCTATGATATTTGGTACTTTAGATTAAGTGTAGTTTTAAAGTTACGGTATTTTCAATGTGCCCTGAGTTTGCTGAGTTTACCCCATCTTAAATGGGAGAGCGTCTGCATTCATTTAGTGAGCAAATGTTACTGAGCGTCTACTGATTGCACTGTGGTAAATAGTGCTGGGGATAAATAATTAGAGAAGACAGACCCAGCCCCTGCTAGGAGGAGGAGAGACAGACAGTGAACAAAGAACCAAATATATTACAGGTCATGGAGAAACCTCAGCAGGAAACGAAAGTGTTAAGTGGCAAATAACAGGAAGGGCTTAAGATGGTTCAGGGAAGGCTACTTGGAGGAGGAAACTTTTCTCTTTTTCCTCCCTGTGGCAGTGGTAATTGAACCCAGGAGATCACAAATCCTAGGCAAGTACTCGGTCATTGAACTACATGCCCAGCAAGGAGACGATATAATGAAACCCGATGACAAAGGCCTGGACCAGGCAAGACGTCCGTGTGAGGAATACAAGGCACAGGGGCTTTGAAGCAGCGAAGGCTGGGTTTCCTGGGAATGGAAACAAGACAGGATGACCCAGGAATGAGGCAGGACTGGAGAGGGAGCTGCCAGGCTGCACAGGGTGGTGGTGGGGGAAACACAGCAGGACATGGCTCTTCTAAGGTGTCATCTCTAGAACCGTAGCAATAGACATTTCTGCTAGTGAGCTGGTAGAAGAAAACTCGACACTGTGGTCACCCTCAAAAACACACCTTGATCTGGCAGTCTCCTCCGGGAAGAAGGTGGAGCAGGGATTAAAAATAGACCGTACCATCCCATCCCCACCACATGAGGAAGAAAGTGAAAACTGGCAGGTAGCCTGGGAAGAATATACAGGGGCTGGCAGGAAAGGAGGAGGATGAAGGTGGAGCTAGGCCTACAGGTCCATGAGATGAGGAGGGAATCCGGGGTGGAAGGAGAGTGCAGAGGGCGTGTCCCAGACTCTTACCAGTTCCTCGTGCTCCTTAGTGAGGCTGGAGGGCAAAGTGTCCATGTACGAGTCCTTCAAGGGCTTCCAGCCCAGCTGGTGGGCCTCCATGTAGATCATCCCACACCTGACGGCACAGACAACTGGGTTTGGTGTCTGCCTGCTCATCGCTAACACTGACTGACATTTATTGACATGACATCAGTAGACTCATGCAGTATTCTAGGCTTTATTGGCTTTGACAATAACCCTCATCCAGTCTTATGTTTCTCAGCTTATTTGCCCTAGGCTAACCACCTTTCCCACAGGAACACAGGAAGAGTGTCATCAGTCTTGGCTTCTTTCCTTTTCAGCCATGCCGTGTTCTATATGCTCATAAGGTACACATCTGTGCACACACATGCACACATGTACGCGCGGTTTAAATCTGTATGTCCCCCACAGCATCGTATTTTGAATGTTGTTCCCCAGCTGTTGATGATATCTGAAGGACATGGGTCACTAGGATGGAGCCTTTGAAGGCTCTAGCCCTGTCTCTGGTTCCTGCCTTACTCTACTTCCAGGATGTGAACAGCCCCAGCCACACATTTCCATCACTGTGGTATAAACTGCCCCACCATTCCCTTCCAGCCATGAAGGACTAAAACCCTAGTAAACTGTGAGCCAAGATGACCTCTCCTTCCTCTTCTTCCTCCCCTCCAATTTGTTTAAAGATTTGCTTTTGTTTTTATTTATGTGTATGTGTGTAATGCCATGTGTGTGCAGGGGTTCAAAAAGGCCAGGGGAGTAGGTTGTGTCCCCTGGATACAGGCAGTTGTGAGCCTCCTGATACGGGTGCTGGGGACTGAACTCAGGTCATCTGGAAGAGGAGCAAGCGCTCGTAACCACTGAGTCCAACACTCCAGTTCAGCCCTTTCTTTCTAAGCTATTTTCTCCCCCACCTTCTCTTTCTCCTCCTCCTGTTTAATTTCACTTTATTCAATGTTCCTCTCATGTCCTTATGTTGTTCCTGTCAGGTCTTTTGGTCATAGTGTTGATACAATACCGTATATACACACTATGTGTGAGCATGCACACACACAATGTATAGAGTGTTTTTGTTCTTAAACCATTTAACAGGGGTACTATATTATAGTCCATTTGTGGTTTTCTTTTAAAATTTGTTTATCTACTGTCGTATGTGTGTATATGATGTGTGAGGACACACATGCCACTGGGAACATGTGGAGATCAGAGGGCAACTCTGTGGGGTCAGTTTTCTTCTTCCACCTTTATATGGGTTCAGGGAATCAACTCAGACCACCAGGCATGGGTAGCAAATGCTTTATGTGCTGAGTCATCTCACTGGTCTGCAGATTCCTTTTATATTTAGTGTTTCCAAAAATTTAGTTGTTCTAAGATTTTTAATCTTTAAGCTAGTTATTAAGATTAGTTTGCATAGGTGCATGCCAACACAGCTCATTTATTTTGTGACATACATATAAATATTGTAATTTCAGATATGCCTTATTAATTTATTCCTCTTTGACGGACATTTGGGCTATTTCTACCTGGTTGCTGTTGAGAGCTGTGCTGTGCTGAGTGTTGACAGGTCTCATATTGCTCATCTATAAAAGCTTCTTGGGGGGCATATACTTAGAGGACATGTGCCGCCTAGTGAACAAGGCCAGACTATTCCACCTTCCTGTTGTCCTCTCTGCATCATCACACATGGGCCCACACAGGTGCGCGCGCGCGCGCGCACACACACACACACACACACGTATGTGCAGTCCTGCTCAAAGAACCATGTGACTCAAAATGAGACAAACAAGCAAAGTGTATTACTAGTTCCCCACGTATGAAGTAGGGGTGAGAACAGTCATGAGAGGGTGGTGGTAATTACCATGGATGTAGTGCCCAGCATCTCAGCCCTTCACAGAAGCTTTGCCAATGGTGGCTGCTGCTATTTCAGTTTTCCTACCTTGAACTATAGCCGGGGTTCTGTGCTCACCCAATGTTCTCAAAGCCTAGCTTGGATGTCTTGTGCAGGGATGGGAAGGGGAGGGGAGGAGAAGGGAGGAAGTGGAAGGACAGGGAAGGGAATTAATGGGAAGGATCTCCTGGGTTCTAGGCAAATCCAGGTTCAACTTCAGGAAATATTCAAACTCTGTCAGAATTCTGGTTTGATAATCGACCCCACTATCCATGTGGGCTTAGGACCGATAATATATAACAGTCTAAATGAACAACACATTGTATGGGTGATCGCACCTGTGGACTTTTAGCCCTCTCCCTCCTGCTTAGGGTGAGTGGCCCCCCACTTCCCCCTGGGTGCCAGAGCACCAGCTCACCTGCTCACGGTGGCAGGGGAGGCCTGCTCCAAGTCTGCTGGCTCAAAGATCAGGCTCATCTTGGGGCTCATCTGTATGATCTCGCCACTCATTAAACACAGCTGGAAGTGCAGTGGGGGCGTGGGGGTGCACAGGGTTAGATGAGCCATCATTAAACAGAGCTGAAGGGCGGGGGGGGGGGCAGGGGCAGGCGGCAGGGGTCAGGCAGCAGGGGGCAGGCTGAAATCCCATCTGCAAATGAAGGGTCGCAGTGGAGACAAAATTGACTCAATGTACCCTACACAGAGGTGTTGGGAACCTATTATGTGCCAGGCATCATTCTAAGTGTTTAGGACAAAGCAGACAATCATTTCTGTCCTCCTGGAGTTGATGAGCAATACACAGAGTGGTGAAAGCCCACTGGTGAAACATGGAGCAGATGGGTGGGGGAGTGCTGGCATGGTTGAAAAACTTGTGTCAAATTGCAGCCCGAGGTAAAAGTGGTGTGTTAAGAGTGCTTTTGAAGTGTCTTGGTCTCTTTGTATTTACGATAGGATTGTTATTATTATTATTTTACATTTTGCCTAGAGACGGATCACACTACACTGCCTGTGCTGGCTTTGAACTCACTCTTTAGCCTACACAGACTGGTGATCCTCCTGTCTCAGCCTCCAGAGTAGTTGGGATCACAGGTCAGTACCATTAGGCCCAACTGAACATAGAATTTGCCTGCTTATCTTTGCCTGCATACCTTCAGTCTGTTCTGTTTGCTCAGGTCTCTGACAAAGCACTGTTTTTGAACCTCCCACGTGGTCTAGCCCATGGCTGGGATGACAAGAATTACTCCATAAATCCCTCTTGGGTCAGAAGGAGAAACCACTAGAGGGTCTTGGGTTTACAGACACATCCCTGTAGCATGCAGGGAAGACTGATGAATGAGCCTCAGAACATCCACTCAGAGCAGAACTTGGCAACACGGACTCGAGCGAAACATTTAAATAATGAGACAAAACCTGAGCCCTGGTCGCTCACGGAAAAAGAACAAATGGCAGTCATTCCCATGGTCCATTCAATTTTGTGGTTAAAAGAATCTGCATGTTCCTCAGCCCATGCCACTGTATGCCACCAGAGAGGTCACAGCTGTGATAGAACTGACCTTCCACCAGCTTATGTCATCTCTAAGTAACAAAGCAAACAGACTCACATCTGGGGCTGCAGTTTGGCTAATTGTATGGAATCTCCATGACTGGAGATTTCCATAATATTTCTTTCTTTGTGGTGTTGGGGATCGAACCCAGGTCAGTGGGGTAAGTGCTTTGTCATTGAGCTACACCCCCAAGCTTTTCTATTTATACTTTAAATCCCAGAAAGCTTACTGACTACCAGTACAAACTGAAGCACAATTAATGAACTGATAACTATTATTTAAGTGGGGGGCATTTATGCTAGGGCAACAAATCCATGACTTTATATAGTTTTAATTATTCATGAAAGAGTTCCTACGCCACCCACGAACAAGTGATGGGCTTGGTAGCTACCTTTTTGTTGTCATCCAGTACAGTGTTCATATTTTCAATCCAAACAGCATCCACTGGTCCATCAAATATAATCCATTTGCGGTCATCAGTCATGGAAGATGCTTGTTCCCGGAAAGCGTTGGCTAGGACACCGTCCGTCCACTCATGGCTCACTGGGTCAAAACATCCATACAGCTGCCCCATTGTGATGGCCTTGGGGTTGATGATCTTGAACTCCACAGCAAACTCGTCCATCTGGTTGGCTGGGTGAGAAAGTCCAACCCATTACAGTAAACAAAAGACCACCAGCTTGGTGAATGAATATACAGTCTACGGAGACTCTATAGAATGATGCTCAGTCCTTATAAAGACTGGGATACCTAAATAGATCTCATATTTTGGGTTATCAGAACCATTCATTTGCAACCATATTTTTCTTCTGCATTTTATTTCAAACTGGGCAAATGTCAGATTCATGACCGAAGAAACCTGGCTTGACTGAGAAGAACTCTAACAGTAAAGGAAAAACAAGAATATTCCAGCACCTTTCCTGTGTGCCTGTGTCACAGACACCCTGGGCTCTGGCCTGGGATGACGAAATCCTGACAGCTCACATGACAGGGGAACCATCACTTCTCCATCCAAAGGACTAAAGCCCTGCAATCCTCTCAACTGCTCATAACTGACGTTTGTCCCCGGGAAATAAACACTACTGTTACCAGGAGCCAAGTGGCTGGCCAATGGCATAGCACATTTATTTAGGGACAGAAAATGGCATTTTTATATGATTTTTTTAATGTAAAAATTATTTTATTTATTTATTTTTGTTGTGGCAAAAGGTATTACATAAGACATTCCTTCATCCCCACTGTGGAGCACGCAGTTCTGTGGCGTTCGGTCCAGAACTTTCTCATTGTACGTAATCTTTCATGTAAGGGAAAGTTGGAGTCCACAGGCCAATAAAGAACCAATGACAATGATGTAGGCTCTTAGTTTCTTTTCTCTTTTAAAAGTATTTTTATTATTTATTTATTTATTTGTGTGTGTGCACGTGTGTGTGTGCGCGTGTGTGTGCATGTGCGTTGTATGTACCACATGGGTGCAAGTGTCCATGGAAGCCAGAAGAGGGCGTCATATCCCTTAGAACTGGAGCCTCAAGAGGTTTGAGACGTGCGTTAGCAGCCTATCGTAGGCACTCTGGGAAAGCAACAAACACTCTTAACCTCTGAGCCATCTCTCCAGCTATTTAGATTCATTCAAATGCCCAAACTAGCACTGTACTTACATTTGAAATACCCAAGTTAGTTATTATGATTATCAATAACTATTAAACAAGATGTTAGGTCAATTCTCAAAGCAAAAGCTCCAAAATCCAGTAATAACTTATCATTAAAGTTCATTAGAGAACAGTTTTACTTAGGTGGGGTGGTACATACCTATACCACCCCACTTGGAAGGCTGAGGCAGGAGGATCATGAGTTTTAAGACCAGCCTATAATGGTGAGATCCAGTCTTAAAACATTAAATAAAAACTTAAAACCCTCAAGTAAATAATAAGGAAAAGAAAGCATTTATGTTTTGAGACAGGGTCTGTTTTGTAGATCTGACTGCCTAAAACTCACAGAGATCTGCCACCTCTGCCTCTTGAGTGCTGGGATTAGAGGCGTGTGTCACCATGCCTGGCAAGAAAACATTTTAAAATAATGCCTAGGTCCTCTGGAAGTGCGACAATCACTCTTAACCACGGAGTCACTTCTCCAATCCCAAAGGAAACAATTTTAGTTCAAGTTTTTGAATAAACTATGTGCAGCATAGGCATGTTTTTCAAAATTATATGTTTGTATATTCCACAGAAATAAACAAACAACTGGAAGAAAAGAAACTCACATTGTTTGTTTGGTGATAAAACATAGTTTCTGTTTGTTAAGTTGGCACCATGTGTTTACCTACATCAGTGGTTCTCAACCCTCATTCCGCTTCTATCTTATATATCAACACCCAAGCTGGCAAAGCCCATGGCCTAGCATTGTGTCCCCAGAGTCAGACAACTATGCAGAAGTCCTGACCTCCCTGGAAGCCAAGGGTGCAAGCCTTACCTGCATATAAATCACCCAGAGCTGCAGCCAGAACTTTATACGCCGATGTCTTGCCGCCCATAGGATCTCCAACAATCATGTAGCCGTGTCTTACCAGCATCATCTCGTAGATCTGGGAAGAGAAGTCATGCAGGGGTCAATCCTGGCACACTTCCCAGTATGACAACCAAGAGGCCAATGAGGGTGGAGAGCAGATCCTCAAGGTCATTAACTCTTAAGAGCTGCAGCTCTTTTAGTGGTCTATTCTTTAAATAAGTCTTAGTTAAATATAGGCCCTAGATCGCCTACTAAATAGGAAGTACTATTTGTTCTTCACCTGCCTATATGCTAATTACCACATGATGCCTATATGCTAATTACCACATGATGGCTCAGATGGTCTCACTGAATGCCTCCAACCCCCGGCGGAAGGGGAGAGCCAGCTTCTGAAAATTGTCCTCTGACTTCAACGCTGGCATGCCTATGTACACACTAATAATAAATCAACTAAAAAATTTAAAGTTTTAAATTACATTAAATATTTATGCACATTTCAGGGTATACTATAGCCATTTGATATATTTACAGAATGTGTATTGACCAAATCAGGATGATTACATTCCTGTCTCCCAAGACATGGACTCACTAGAATTAAAGAGTAGATAGATGGTGGTCACTAGAGGGAGGATGGGGGGAAGGTTAGATTACTGACACCCCAAAAAATTAGGCTGATAGAATTAGCTGTAGCGTTTTATAGTGGAGCAGGGCCACTATGGCTCACAGAACTTTATTTCTTATATATTTACATAGATACCCCTATTAATCATTTATTAGATAGAACATTTGCCTTTAAAGAGGAAAGAGAAGTGGGGGTCATTTTAGCAACCTGCATTTTCTTTTGGAAATTTCTGGCCAGAAGGTTTACGTACTGTTCTAGCCTCACTGGAGTGCTCAGTTGATAAAGGGTATTTTCTGAGCTGGGCTCCAGCATGTGGATAACACTCCATGTGAATTCAGTCCCTCCTCTGAAGTACTACAGTGATTTGAATGAGAATGTCCTCTGCAGACTATGGTATTTGAACACTGGGTGCCCAGTTGGTGGACTGATTTGGGGAGGATTCAGTGTGGCCTTACTGGAGGAAGTATGTCTCTGGAAGTGACTTAGAGAGTTTAAAGACCAGTGCCACTTTTAGTTCAGTCTCCCTGCTTAGTGCTCGTGATTGACACATGAGGTCGCCTCTTATTCATCCTGCCTCCTGCCGCCACAACTCCTGCCATGATGAGCTCTCATCCCTCTGGGACTGCCAAGCCCAAGTCAGCTCCTTCTTCTGCTGGTTGCTGTATTACAGCGACAGAAAAGTGATTAATTTGATGGCTGGCAGCAGTGGTCATAGAAGCTCATGGCTTTACATTTCCTGATCATTTCTTTCTGCCCGTGACAAGTAGCTCATCCATTTGAACTACAAATACTCCGGTCACTTTTATTTATGTGAAAAGATTTCGCTTTTAGACGGTGAGTCCATCAGAGAGAAGACACACAGGAAGCTTTTTATGTAGAAGGTCAAGTTCTCATTATTTTTCACCTTGGAGGTGAGCGGTAAAGAGAATCAAAGAAGGCAATGATAATGGGGTGGTAGAGGAAGAGAAATATGTGCATCAGCAAATCTGTGCTGAGCACCTACTGCATGCCAGGCATGGCTCTAGGTGCTGTGGACAGAGAAAGGACAAAACAAAAAATTTCCAACCATCAAGAAAGCCTTTTGCCCAAGTAGGTTTGAGAGATATTTAAGTGAATAGGGGCAAAAACAGAACAGAAAGCATTAATGACTAAGGAGCCCTTGCCTTTCCGAAAATGACTTTGCAGATATCAAGACACAAAAAGATGTGTTAGTCTAGATAAAAGATATAACTTTATTTTTGAAAATCAGCACTAAACTAAGTAAAATTTCACCCATGTGTCTGCAAATTGTTTTGGAATACATTAAAAGCAAGACGATGAATGGATGGATGGATGGACGGACGGATGGATGGATAAGTGGGTATATGGTTGAACAGGCGGATGGCTGGGTGGATGGCTGGATAGATGTATGAATGTATATACAGTTGAAGGGATGAATAAGCATGTGGATAATAGTGTGGGTGGCTGGGGGACAGGTGGAGAGTTAGGTTGATAGATGGATGAGTTGATATAGGTGTGGTTGCCTAGGTGAATGACTAGGTGGGTGTATGGATAAGTAGACAACATGCTTGGGTAAATGGATGATTGATAATGGATGAGAGAGTAATAAAATATAAAATGTTCATTATAAAATCTAGGCGGATGGGGTAAGATTATTAATAATTCTTCATTTCTTGAAGTTTAAAATATTTCATAATAAAATGTTGAAAGTGAAAGCCTAGGCCTAGTGGAAAGGCTAGTCCACCTGTAAAATACAAAAACAAATTCAGATTCAATATCATATTAAATGAAATATTTTTAAAAATGAGCTCAACTGGTGATATACTGGGGAGAAAAATTAATGTTACAAGAAGGCAGTGTGATCTCTGAGTCTGGAGACCTGGGTCCTCCTTTAACCTTTGCTTCAGTTAACATCACAACTTGAGCAATGGCAAAGCTGATAAGGAGCAGGCACAGATATAGCTCTAGGCACTGTCCAGTGCTTTGCCCGCACACTCTCTCAAAAGTCACTCTATACGGAAATTTCTTCTCCTTCCGTTTTACAGGTGAGAAAACTGAGGCCCAAAGAAGTGAGATAATTTGCCTCAGATCCCACAGGGATGAAATTTCAACCTGGGTCTGCATTAATACCAAATCCAGTTCCTCTATGGGCCTCAGGGCTCATGCATAGTCTAGATTAGATGGTATTTGTGGTCTCTGTGACTCTGGTTCATGGGTCAGCAAATATTGTTTGGGCTGTATTTCATTGACTTTATTATTACAAGTTATAAGTCAGTTTTACACAGAGAGTGGTCCCAGAAGGGAACATCAGGACTATCATGAAGCTTCACGGAGGCTCCGCAGGTCAGGGTCGAGGAGAGTCTGTGATTTCTGTCTCACATCCAGTCTGTGGCCTACTGATAGTACAATCCTAGCTGATGTGACGGGGTGGGGCTGGCTTCATCTCTACTTGGTCATGGTCTAGGCTTTATCTCTGTCATTGCTTCCAGATTGGTCATGTGACATCATCAGAGCCATCCAAATGTTGAGACTTTAGTGTGTGTATGTGTATGCATTTGTACACGTGTGTGGACATATATGTGGAGGTCAGAGACTAAAATTGTGTGTCTTCTATTGCCCTCCACTATTTTGGGGTGTCCTTTGGAACCGGGAGCTCCCTTATTCAGATAGACAGCTGCTAGTGGTTCCAAGGTCCACCCATCTCTACCAGCTCCCCACCACTGCTGACGCTACAGATGGTCCCTGTCGGATCTGGCTCTCACACGGGTGCTGAGGAACAGAACTCTGGCCCTTAGATTGTGAAGCAGCCCTTCACCTGCAAAATCACTTCCCCAGCCCTAGCACTGAACATTTATGGAGTCACTTGGAGAGGGGTACTCTTTCTCAGCCCCAACTTTGAGCATTTATGGAGTCACTTGAAGAGGGGTACCCTTTCTCCTTCTGTAACAAAATCAGTTCTGAGGTTACTGAGGTAGAGGGCCGATAACTAGAAAAGGAGTTTAAATGCAGGGAGGGAGGCTGGGTTCACAGACGAAGAACGCAACCTTCCTAGTGAAGTTACCCAGAAACTTGGATCCCACCATGCCCGGGGCTATTTCATTCCTGTGCTTTTCAGGTTAGGCGAGTAAATCCCATTTTAAAGGCTAAGGCAGTTTGAGTTGGAGTTGTGAGTCCAGAGTAACGAAAAATTCAGTGTTCCCGCAGGCTTTTTCTCAAAAAGACGGCCATGGAAAAAGTGCCGGCGTTTATTTTATGTTGCTTTGTTGTTTTTATTGCTTTGAGATAGAGACAGGCTCACTATTGTAGCCCAGGCTGGCCACCTAGGAATTAAAAAAGCATCCCATCACACGCCAAGGTAAAACGCTGGGTTGTAACAAAAGGCTAATGGTATGATAGACTGTCGCATTGGTCTCTTAGCTCTCCTTCTACTCAGGCCTTTATGGTTGCTGTTAGTCCATCTCACATCTGCCCTAGGTCTTTCCCAGTCCCGACTCCAGTGGACCGTCGGTACAGTCCCACTTGGACACACGGAACCAACCTGAATAATCTTCCCAATAAACCAAGGCACTGGCTGAAGCTTCATCTTTTTGATGTTGTTGTTCAGGGCTTCCAGGAAAACTTCATAGTCTGGCTTTGGAAGAACAACTCCAGGAAACAGATCTGAGATGATTCCCTGTCAAACGAGAATTCAAGAGAAAGGGGTGGGGGGTAGCAGGTAGGTGAGCTCACCCTTTCCTAAAAGGGGATCTACAAACTAAAGAAATGTTAGAGACTTTGCAAAGCTTGTTTCTTCCTGGACTTAAAATGTCATCTGTGAGTCATGATTTCCCAATTTTAGAAGGCAGAAAATATTTACTAGGTCTATAGGGCTATTGTCTAATCATGCCATAGAGTAGCAAGATGGGCAGTTCCTGACCTTATGACGCTCATAGCCTGATAAGGAAGAGAGAGGTCTTACATGAGTTATAAAAGAAACCTATTCCATTAGAAAAAAGCCATGACCCAGATCCAAAGCAAGTTGTGAAAAGATTTCTATTGAAATTTGTAACTAAATAGGGAATTTTTGCTTTTTTTTTTTTTACCATTATTAACACAGAGAGGGCTGGACAAAAGGTGCAATAGGCTGGGGAGAAGTCTCGGGCACTAAGTGCCTCCTGTGCAAGCGTTCAGGTCTGGTTTGGATCCTGAACACCCCTGTAAAAACATGGGTGTGGTGACATGTCCCAGTATTCCCAATTCTGAGATGGCAGAGGTTGGTGGGGTCTTGGAGCTTGCTAGCCAGACAAGCTAGCTGATTTTGTGTGCTCTTGGTTCAATGAGAACTACACCGTGAGTTCCAGGCCAGCCAGAGCTCCACAGTGAGAAGCTGTCTTAAAAAGGGAAAGATGGAGAGCGATAGACAATGGAACCTGCGATGAAACTCTAAGTCTCTACATGCTCTCATATGTGCGTGTGTGTGCATGCACACACACACACACACGCTCAAAAGTGGGATGGCTGGAATGAGAAAAGGTGTCAAAAGATGTAAAGAGGTGCTTTCAAAATTATTTCATTCTCCAAAATTGAGCCTGAGTCCTTGGTCAAAGCCCCAAGACAGTGTACCTGAAACAGGGGGACGTCTTGAGCCAGGAACTTGGCCAGGTTGACATCCAGCAAGGCCCGGAGCAGCAAAACACTTTCGTTCTCCTCGGGGTACTTAAGCTTCAGATTGCCGGCCGCTGTGAGCACTGACTTGACAGCCCGCATGCCATAGTCGTAGTGGTGCTGGGATGACAGCTGCTCAGAGCACAGGCGGTAGGTGGCGACAATCTTCTGGGCAAGACTGTGCAAGGGCAAAGACAAGCCCTCAGTCCTCAGCAGCTCCTTCAGATACTAGGCTTGCCCATGGATTTAGTGAGCAAGACTTTTTTTTTTTTTTTACCAGAACCACCATAGTAAACTAAGGAAGCACAGCTCTCTTTCAAACATAGAATGAAAGCAAGCAAGCACATATATCCAACATACATCCTAAGTGAAATCATGTTATACGCTTTGTGTGTGAATGCATGTGTACATATGCAGGCACACACAAGTTTGAAATAAGACATTGAACTATCAATCCCTGAAGAGCGAGAGTAAGCTTTACCTTTCTCATGTCTGTGACATGACAGTACTGTGTGATATCTGGTTTGTTTTTTTAATTCAAAAAAGCTAATTCAAAAGTGTAATATATACATCATATTATGCATGTCTGTCTACTTAGTCTTTCTGGACACATGACTGAGAACCACATTTCTCAGACTGCTCTATAGCTAGAGGAGGCCAGACTAATGTGTTCTAGCCAGCGTTGGGTGAACAAGTGACATATATCAGGTCCAGGCTGGCCCATAAAAATCTCCTCCATGAGCCATCCCATGCCACATGTTGAAGCCATGCTGTAAGTATCCCATGACTCACCCATTGAGGAGCAATGTCCTGAGCAGAGATGTCTATTTGGAATTCTGAGTGAATATGAAACAAACATTTGTCAAGCTACGCCATTGGGACTCGGGTGTCAGGGTTGCCCTGACTAATACGCTTGGGTACATTGTGCTTGGGATGATTCCCTTTAGAAAATGTATTCACTTTTAAAAACAAAGATTTCATGCTGTTCACACTTTAGCACAGGGCTTCAGGAGATGGTGAGTTGAATAGTCAAACCAATGTGCTCCAGGTCTACCATAGGGGAAAAAATAACCCTATAGCTCAGAAGATGCCTCTTGCCAAGGAAGGGTAATATATTCTGTGAAAAATTCTCTTAGGTTACAAATAAAGAACTCTTATATATTCCCCTGAAGAGATATTTATTGAAGCAACAAAATCTATTGATTACAGGAAAGACAAGGTAAAACAACAATCACAACCGCAACCAAATCAAACAGAATAGAAAAAAAAAACCCAACAAAACCCAACCTAAAACATAAAACAAAAAAGTGTAAAATTTGGGTTGGTCAATATAGGCCATTTTATAGCGTGTGCTGTTTTGAGTATATACAAACACACATAAAGACACTAATTACTGTGTGTTTTGGAAAACAAGGAGTTGCTTGAATCAGAAATAACACCATTAATTGGAGAAATGTTATATTGCCAACAATTTAACTAAATTGTTAAATTCATTAAATAATACTACATTTTTTCTTGTAGCTTTGGAATCACTTCATGTTTTATAGTCTTGTTTTAAGACCTTTAGTAGTAATATGGGGGTAAATGTGTTATTGTGAGGTGTGGGAAGAACACGAGTGGCTACTGTTTTTACAGTGTTTGGATGTGTAGAGCAGAGAAGAGCCCCTTTCGTGGACACCTGGTCCTTTTCTCTGTCAGGAATGGGGTCAGGACTAAAGTCGGGGCTATATGTTCTCAAATCAGCAAAATCAAGTTTCTTGAGTGTTGTAGAACATTGGATAAAGGTATGTTAATTTGTTTACACTGTGGAATGTTTGTTCAATGATGCAAAGATGTGTTGCATTCTTTCATGTGTCATTTGTTTAACTCTGTGAAGCTGTGCTACTTTGCCTGCCTAAAACTCCTGATTGTTCTAATAAAGAGCTGAATGGCCAATAGGTAAGCAGGAGAAAGGATAGGTGGGGCCGACAGGAGAGAGACTAAATAGGAGGAGAAGTTTGGGAAGAAAAGATCAAGCAGTAAGAAAAGGTGAAGGAAAAGGGACTCCAGAGGCCAGCCACCCAGCTATGCAGCACACCGTGGAGTAAGAGTAAAGAAAGGTGTATAGAAAGGCAAAAGCCCAGAGGCAAAGATAGACAGGCTAATTCAAGCTAAGCAAAACGGTCAAGAAACAAGTTAAGCTAAGGTTGGCTTTTTATAAGTAATAGTAAGACTCTGTGTGTATTTATTTGGGAGCTGGGTGGCAGGCCCCCCAAAGAGTCAAAGAGTCAAAACAACCAACAACACTTGAGGTTTTATTCTCCCCCCCTCCACCCCACACACACAAAAGTTGCTCTTTAAGGGCATGCGGAACCCACTGGGAAACAAATGGAACATACCTCCTGGAGTCCAGAAAGCCCATGGAGTAGAGGGAGATTTCTCCAATCAGAGCATAATCTGGCACCATCATGGCCACTGTTCGGAATAAGGCCTGGAAAAAAAAATAACCTATTGGAACCAGAGCATACAAAATGCATACTTAGAGGAGTCACATCTACAGAGACAAAGAGAAGTCACGTGATGAGCCAGTCACCCCCTTGACAATCAAGGGAAGGACGGCCAGAGGACAGGCTAATACAGACAGACAGACAACCTCTGCACTGACTTTGACTAAGTTACATGCTATTACATTGGGTCTCTCAGAGTCCTATGGAAGGTTCTAGGAGCTGGTTTCACAACCATTTTTTCATTCTGTGTCAAATGAGGACGTCTTATAGCATCACCCAGCTTCCCAGGATTCAGGAAGTTTTCAGATGCCGTTCAGGAATGCGAGACCAGCGCGGAACATGAGAATCCTGAGCTCAGGCAAGAGCTGATTTGATTCCTGCTCAGATACAGACCAGTTTGGACAAGCTCCTTAATCTGAAACCAGTCTTTTTCCACCAAAATGAACTACCAGCTTTAGTCCTTTGTAGAAATAGCTGAGACCAAATGATATAGTATCAGTGAAGTGTTCACAAACAAATGTGGCCCATTGTGGTGGTCTGAAAGAAAACGGCCCCCAAAGGAACTGGCACTATTAGGAGGTGTGGCTTTGTTGGAGTAGGTGTGGTCTTGTTGGAGGAAGTGTGTCACTGTGGAGGCGGGCTTTGGGGTCTCATATATGCTCAAGTCACTCCCAGTATCTCAGTTTACTTCCTGTTACCTTCCGAACAAGATGTAAGAACTCTCAGTTCCTTCTCCAGCACCAAGTCTGCCTGCAGGCTGCCTTGCTTCCTGCCATGTCAATGATGGACTAACGCTCTGAGCTGTAAGTGAGCCACCCCAGTTAAATGTTTTCCCCTATCAGAGTTGCCATGGTCATGGCGTCTCTTCACAGTGATAAAAACCCTAACTAAGACATCCATAGTTAGCAATCAATGAATAACAGCTACTCTTTTTATTTTAGAACATAGAGGAGGAGGGCCTTGCCTCATGCTTACAGTTAGCCAGCTGGATAGCCAGGACTAATGCAGGTTTCCTCACACCATTGCCTTCTGCTTCCTGTAACATTTGTTTCATGAGTTTTTTGTACAGGTCTAACATGGCTATTGGCTAGGGTGAGTGCAATGAGTCGTGACAACAGCTGGGTTATGAGAAAGGGAAATGGAGTACCAATTCTACTTTGACACCCACTAGCCTATGTCAGTTCACCTAGACCTTGGTAGAGGGGATCTTGATTGAAGGAATGGTGCACTCCTTTAATCCCAGCACTCAGGAGGCAGAGGCAGGCAGATCTCTGTGAGTTTGTAGCCAGCCTGGTCTACAAAGTGAGTTCCAGGACAGCCAGAACTGTTGCACAGAGAAAACCTATCTCAAAAACCAAATCAAACCAACCAACCAACCAAACAAACAAAAAGCCAAAGAAAAAGAATGGCCTCTATCAGAATGACCTGTGGGCATGACTATGGGGGCATTTCTTGATTTCTGATTGATGGGAAAGGGCCAGCTCACTGGGACAGTGCCATCCTAGCCTGAGCTATAGACAAAAGGTAGCTGAGTGAGCTGGGGGGGGCAGTAAGTAGTGCTCCTCCAACACTCTCTGCTTCCCTTTCTGTTAGGGTCTTGTTTGAGTTTTTGCCCTGACTTCCTTCAAAGATGGACCATGACTTGGAAGTGTAAGCTAAACAAGTCCTTTCCTACCTGTCTTAGTTAGGTAGGGTTTCAATTGCTGTGAAGAAACACAACAACTCTTATAAAGGAAAACATTTAATTGTGTGGCTCGCTTACAGTTCAGAGGTTTAGTCCATTATCATCATGGTGGGAATCCAGGCAGCGTGCAGGCAGATGTGGTGCTAGAAAAGGAGCTGAGAGTTCTTACATTCTGACTCAGGCAACAGGAAGTAAACTGAGATACTGGGTGTGGCTTGAGCATAAATGAGACCTTAAAGCCTGTCTCTACAGTAACACACCTCTTCCAACAAGGCCACACCTATTCCAATAAGGCCACACCTCCTAACAGTGCCACTCCCCCAAGTTGCTGTGGCCAGTGTTCTATCACAGCAAAAGAAAGCAAACAAGGATATCAACCAACAAGGAAGGAGCACTTGAAAGTTCTCTTGCCTGTTTTCTACTCTGAGAGCAAAGTGGTCTATCTGAACAAGCTTTCCTGGATACTAATCATAATCCATTTCCAGTAGGTAGATCAGTACGTACTAAAGTTGGTGATGTGAGTGTGGTCAGATCTCTCCTATCATTTCTCTCTAAGAGGGTGAAGAAATCACAAAGAAGCAGGCCTAGAAGACTCTCACTCTATGGTTGCTCTTTTCAAGCAACTGGGTGTCAGACATTCTTTCCACGGAAGACCTAACCATCTTACATCCTTTGGACTTGTGCTTCCTTGAAAGCAGCATCCTAAGGCCATCTAGGGCCATCTTTCCTTGTCTTTATTTTCTGGGGCACTTCCCTTCTTCCTCTAGCGACAGGGCCTGTGGATCTACAGTGTCTGTAGCTCAGGCCAGATCAACAATAGGTACGGGGTACACAGACTCTTGTTTTTCCTCTGGTGTGTCACAGTAGTACACTTTAGGAAGGAAACGAGATGGGTTTTACTAGCTTAGTAATAAAGAGGGTTGATCAATATGGTTCAATCTAAGTTTGCCAGAGTTCACTGCATTGAAATTTGGTATTCTCAGCAGAAAAAAACAATGACATCTTGAAGTTTGTGGGCAAATGGATGAATATAGAAAACATCATATTGGGTGAGGTAGCCCAGACCCAGAAAGACAAATATCATATGTGCTCAGCCATAAGTGACTTTTAGACATAAAACAAAAAAAGTCTATAATTCACAATCCCAGAGAACCTAGACAACAAAGAGGACCCTAAGAGAGACATACATGGATCTAATCTACATGGGGAATAGAAAAAGATAAGATCTCCTGAATATATTGGGAGCATGGGGAACATGGGAGATGGTAGAAGGGGAGGATAGAAGAAGGGAGGGGAGTGGAGAAAAATATATAGCTCAATAAAAACCATTTTAAAAACATATAAAGAAGAAATTTGGTGTTCTTTCATAAATAGATGATCTTTGTTTGGCCCTCAATTATTGTCTTTTTGCAGGATGTGAAGATTAGATGACTTCATGTAACAGCGCTAAATTTTCCATCCTCCCCCGGAAGGAGACAATGTAACAACTCTTTCTTAGCAATAGTCGGCTGGAGGTAAGAGGTGGCTGTTGCCTTAGCATTCAGGATTCTCTACCATGCCTAGCTGACTCCTCTTTATATCAGCTGTCCGACCACTATAGATAACGAAACACAGACTCTTAATATAGTTTCTCTGCTAGCCATTGCCATTCATCTCATGTATTTATCCTTCCTCACTGTTAGACCTCGTTGGGGAGGTGTTCTCAGATCAAATATTATCTTACCCTGGAAATATGAGCTATTCCTACTATTAGGCTATCTATGAGATCTTCAGCAGCATACTCCTAGAAGTTTCTACATTATAAATACATCTATGCTATATTAAATCAAGGCCAACATTTACCTTGAGGTTATCTGGCAGCTCAGCCCTGCCAGCGTACCCAGGGTTCATGGTGATGAAGACGGCACAGGTTGGGTTCAGCGAGAGCTCAGTGCCTTCAAAGATGAACACCTTCAGCTTCCGGATAATGGCTTGTTGGATGCTGAGAATCTGCTGGGCTACCACTGATAGTACCTCCACCTGTGGAAGGAATACCCTACTGGGGTGTGCTCAGCCAGCCTGCCTCCTCACTCTGCAAGGATGGACCTCAGTCACCTGAGAACTAACCTTTACGCTCTTAATGACGAGCATAATTTGGGGGATTTGGCAAGGAAACGCGTGTGTGTGTGTCCATGTGTATATGTGGTGTGGTGTGTGTGGATAAGACATTTCCATAGTTTTTCATCTTAGCATGGTGCTTGACACCCAAGAGGTTTTCACTGTCTACCAGTTCAAATTTCACTGCTTACATTTCTGGTTTCCACTCTCTAAACAGATTCAATCAAAATCACTTTTTGTGATGTGTCTTTTTTATTTTTTTTAACCACTATTGTAGACTTCTATCATATTTTGTTTGTTTAATTTTTATTCTTTCTATTGGGCTGCAACCATTTAAGAGGCAAGATCATCTCTTAGTCATCTTTATCCCCGTGAACTTATGCAGTTACAGACATACACTAGCTTCCTACCTAACCTGTGAAGGAGTTAGTGAATGGATGAATACGATCGAGAGGCTGGATGTGTTTAAAATACACATGCTGTCTCCTTGCAGCTGTTTGTGTTTAGTATTTAAGTACCTACTCCATGCAAGGGCCATAGAGAAGATACACAGATGCTATTCTTAAGGGCTGAGAGCTCAGAAAAAAAGTCGCTCCATGTCCAATCCCATTGTCATGTCCCCTAGAAGGAGAGTTACCTCAATCCTGTTGAATTCATCAAAACAGGCCCATGCTCCGGCTTGGGCCAGTCCCTTGAAGAACTTCCCCATGGCTTTGTAATCCAAACCATCAGAGCAGTTGAAGACCACACACTGGAAAGAGGGAGGATTCAGGGTAAATTTCCTCATAGCTGAATAATCAGAACCATAAGCCAGGGGCAAGGTTTCTCTCCCATTCTACCGAATGAACTGGGGTCCCACTTTGCCTGTTAGGCTAAATTGTCTCAAACTTCTTGCTCTTGGGGTCCAGAGAGAGGAAGGAAGAAAGGGTAGGGCTGGGTGACACTTCCATACCTGCTTAGCCAAAGCTTTAGCCAGATCTTTTGTGGTCTCTGTCTTGCCTGTCCCCGCTGGACCCTCTGGAGCGCCTCCAAGATTGAGCTTCAGAGCACCCATCAGAGTCCTAAGAGGAAAAGCAAAACAAGCCAAACACAAAACAATATCTCAAATCCTGAGATACAATCCTGGATTTCATTTATTTTGAATTCTGCAAATAGAGGTCTCCGTCAATAATATGGTCAATACATCACCATTGTAAAAAGTTGGTTTTGTTTAGCCTTGTAATTTCAGAGCCTAGCACAGTGCTTGGTGCATGGCAGAGGCTACTTATACGCAGTTGCCTGAAAGAATGACTGGGTGAATAATGGGATGCTTAGGGATATCTAAATGAACCAAATAATGGAAAGTATTCCAGTCCGACATCCTGAAGCTCACCAACACTGATGGAAGGAAGACAAAAATCCATGTGCCCCGTTGGAGTATGCCCTGAGCTTAGGAACCACCTTTCAGTTCATATCTGCAGAGAGAGAGCAGAGTGCCTGGCAGGCGTTAGAAATGAACGAGGACACGGGCCCCAAAGCCCTTGGAATACGTCTTTAGATGGCAGTGACATGGCAACTTGTTATTTTCTGAACTCGCTTCCACAGCTCTAATTAGATTTCAGGTCAGCTGATGTCATGCATGGTGCACGGGCACATTCGAGCCACGACTCTTCTTCATGACTGCAGCTAACAATAGTGTATGGTAGTCAGGGCTTCTGCTGAATGAGTAGATTAGAGCTGCTCCCAGCACAGGGGGAGCACTGATGGTCATGTCAGATGACGGACATTTCCTTACTGTCATAATCAGCTCTGCCGCGTGTGTCATTTATTACAGCATGCTGAAGACCTGCAGGCTGTGCAATGGATCGCATTTCCAAAAGGAAATTGCTGGATGATGAGCAGAATAAATGAAATATGGATTAAAATCAGAAAATAAGGATTAACAATAAATGGGCAAATGACTTGAATGGACAGTTCTCAAAAGAGGTACAAATGTCAAAGCGGGGAGGGGGGTCAGTGCCCATAGTCACTAAGGAAGTCCAAATTCACTCAAGTCAGAATGACTATCCTCAAAAAACTGAACAACAAAAGCAGGCAAGGATAAATGTGGGGATGTGGGGAATCTAACATTCGCACACTGTTGGTAGGAAACGTTAAATCTGTGTGGCCGCTTGAGAGGAGCCTCAAACAAACATGAAAATACTTCTACTGTGATTGAGTTATAGCCCTGCTAAGTATACACCTGGAGGGATCAAAGCCAGTGGACCTCAGAGGTGTTTGCACGCTCATGTTTGCTGTGACACTGTTTATAGAGCAAAGTTAGACATCAGCAGACACGTCTGCCAGTAGATGAATAGATAAAGAAAATGCACCATATATAACAGCGGAGAATTTCACTCTGCCTTAAGAATGGTAGGAAAGTGAAAGGAGCTGGAGATTGTCATATTAAACAAAATAAGCCAGATTCAGATATATAAAGTCATGTTTTCCCCCATGTGTAGAATTTAGATTTGGGAGAGAAAAAGACGTTAAAGTAGAAAAGCGCTTCGGGAGAGGAAGGTGGAGGTCGTGGGGAGACAAGACAGGGTGTGCACAAATGCAGTGTATCCCGGCTAGTGAAAAGAAAACACGTGACTGGAAAAAGTTAAAGGGTCTTAAAGCATAACACTTGGAAATATTTTTACAGTCTAGATTTGTCCTAAACAAATTAAGAAAAATGTGTATAGTACAATTCAGATGCCTAGAAAATCCGAGTATAAGAACATTGGAAAGTCAACGAACCTAATGTTAGGAGTTGTAAGGAAAGGGGCCCAGCGCTGTGCCACACGAGGAGAAGCTCCTTCTCTGCTCTGGACTTTCTTCGGTGCTGGGAATGGATGGCAGGGCCTTGCCTGCTCGCTAGTCAAATGTTCTCCCTCAGGGCCACATGCTTAGCCCTGCTTGTCTGTGTCCTGACCTTCGGGGTCTATCACGTGGCCCTGGGCTCTCCAGACGGGGCACACTGAGTTTTGCTATTGCTGAGCTTTTTCCTTAGCAACATGTGACTATCTCACTCGTACACCAGTGCCCCGCTAACTGGTTCCGGTGTATTTGTCCATACTGGGGTTCCCACCGGGTTCCCGTTCCCCGCCAATTCCATTTATGGTTGGTGCTGACAACTAAGGGCAGACTTCTGAAATGTGAAATTGAAACGTAGAGGGAAGGAACCTAAGACACTGTGGCCTGCCTGGTGCCTTTCCCTCCTACATTCTCTTCCCGTTCTTTCAACGCGGGGCTCCCCAGCTTACCTGTAGCAGCGGTCTGTGAGAGGAGTGATCACCAGGCGGGGGGAATTGCCCAGGTACTCGTAGCCATACAAGGCTTCTGTGGTTATCATCTGCACACGAACGTCCTTTGCCGCCCAGTAGTACCGCAGCTGTGAAATCCACTGGAAATCATTTAGACTGGTGATCTGATCCTTTGCCAGCTTGGCCACCACGTCACGGGCTAATAGGACACCATGAGGAGACACACGCACACAGAGGTGTCAGAACTGCCCATCTTCACAGACTCCTCGGGCAGAAGAGGATGCTATCCAGACCCTCAGGCCCTATGCTATCTCAGGTTCTAGCATCTTCCTGGTCTACTTCCAGCCTGCAGGTAGCAGGAGCCTTCACAAGCTGGAGTTTGCTTTTTCCTAGGGGCAAGGAAGACTGTGCTGCCTTCTGTCAGGAAGTGGAGGAAAGGTCCTGAATGGGCACCCTGAAATCAGGTGGCCTGGTGGAGGGTACCGACTGCCAGCTTGACTGAGTCTAGAGTCCCTAAAAAGACAAGTTTCTGGGGATGCCTGAAAGGAATGTCTAGAATGAAAGGGGAAGAATATTATTTTAAGGTGTGTTACTTTTGTTTATGCTCTGGAACGTTTGTTTGATTGTGCAGATTGATTGATTCAGTAAAATTCACCTGCAGTCAGGAGGTTGCATTAGCGACTGACAGGAAGTGGAAGGAAGGAGCCAGGTAGAGTGGCGAGGAGCAGCGTAAGAATTTCTTGGGAGACATGAGGAGGTGATCTGAGTGAGCTGCTTGCTATTCAGCCTCTCTGGAGACCAGGATTCTACCTCAACTTTTGAATCTTGAGTTCTTTAGCGGGACAGACACTTAGATAAGTTCCTGTTGTATCTTAGAAAGAGTCAGTGCCCGAGGGAACAGAATTTCGTCAGGCAGCGGCTCTTGGAGCCAAACTGCCACTGGTAGTGGCGGAGTTTCAGTTGCTGACGAGGATAGCCATAGCGTAAAAGAAAGCAAGCAGCAGGGAAGACCCACACTAAACATAAGGGGCACCATTCCCTGGGATGGGCTCTATCCTGGACTGCATAAAAAAGACAGCCAGCACCGGTGTGTGCTGCTCTCTCCTTCCTGGCTGTGGATGTGACTATTTGGCCCATATTTCCGCTGCTGTACTTTCCCCACCATGGTGGTCTGAACCCTCAAACTGTTAGCATAAGCACTTCCTTCTTCAGTTGCTTTGGCCAGATATTTTGTTGTAGATGCAAGGAAAATAACCGATACCTTTGGGTTCAGATTTTGGTTCCACCATGAACTAGCTTTGTGACTTTGGGACAGTTACTCAAACTTCTCTGTCTCTTGGTTGAGCAATCAGTCACCTGGAATAGCTAGGAGGACTCCATGTAAATACACTGTGTATGGGTACACAATGTGAGAGAGAGGGCCGGGACCAGAGGGAACTCTCCAACAGATAAAATATTATAGAAATATTACTTCATGTTACTATTCTGAAGTTCATGTGGACAAGGGTGGGGCTGGTCCAGAGACTTTACAAGAGAGTCACCCTGAGTGCTCACACATTCTCAATATGACCTTTTGGGCCCCATCCCAGGCTTCTAGGACACCCTAGGACACTGGTATCATTTTGACCTGAGAAGGCATGGAAAAGTACCCCAAAAATGCTTGGTTAGAGGTGCTTTCCCTTCTAGCCTCAGGAAGCAGCTGGGTAATACATTTATTGGTTTCCTTTCCTGCTCTCATAGGATTTCGAAGCTAAGTTGCTGACAGTGTTGATTCCTGAAGTCAAAGGGTGACTATAAGCTTGTAGGAATCGCTAACTGGTTTGTGGGTGCTCATGGGATGACAGCTGTTGAGATCTCTGAGTGGACTCTTACAGGTTTGCAAGAGGGACCACGTAGGAGTTGTCCTCACTGAGCAGTGTGCGTCCAAGTGCATGTATGTGCATGCATACATATGTGTTTGTGAACCTAGCCACTCCAGGCGATAATCATACCTGCGCTCATCACCCCCTCCAGGTGGATGTGTGGCCATGTGAAGAAGAGAACCCCCTCCTCTCTTCCTGATCTGTCTGCCTGGTCAGACTGAAGCAAGCACCAGTCCTAAGGGAGTAGATGCTGTGACACACTAGTAAGCTGATCTATGAGCAAGAGAGACCTCGTTCCCAGGCAACAAGCCTGGTCCAGCCCCAGTTTCCTTGGTGATGGTGAAGTAAGGGTGTGGAGGTGGTTTGTTTTCCATCAAGACCCCAGTTCTTCCTCCTTGTCCTCCTCCTTTGTTTCCTTTTGTTTAAAGAAGAGCAGAAGGCGTTGTCTCTCACTACCTCTCCCTGCACAGCTGCCAATTTCCAGCCCCTTGGGTTAGGAAGCAGACAGAGAGAGGCGCCTTTGCCACTTCCAAATGCGGTGTCTCCCAGCATGTTATTTCTTTCTCTAACCATGGGCGCTTAGCCTGGGAAATGCTTGTGCAAATGAGAAAATGTAAACATGTAGCATAAAGCTCACACCTGGTGAGTCTTCAGCATCATCAGCCGTGCTAACGAGGCCATCATTCACCCAGCTGGTATCTCTGCTTAACGAGTGGCTGTGGTGGGAGGGGCTTTGGCACTGGGTTGGTTCTCAGTGCTCTCGGACTAGGAAGCCCTGAGGCATCCCATTTAGGAGACTCAAATGACGCGCCTAGCCAGCTGCCATTCCTGGACAGAGCAACACCAAGTCTGTATTCTTACCATGGACATCGATGACAGTGAGGGCCCCGAGAGTGAGCCTTGCCCCACTGCTCAGCTTCCCGCGCACCAGCTCGACAATCTCTGCAATCTGGTCATTGCTCTTCTTCAGAAAGTCCTGGCCGGGTCACAGGAAGAAACATTTAGTCAAAGTGGATTCTCCTCCAGTGCTTCCCATCTTGAGGGCTGGCATCCAAAGGTCTAAGCCAGACCTGGATATCCTCCCTCAAACCATTCTTTTCCTCACCCCATACATTAACCTCAAGATGGATCTTCTTCTAATTAAAAGAAGCCACAGTACCCTGTTTTATTTTATAACAGTGTGGGAAAGATAAAACTTTTGGGGCAGACATGCACAATTGTGGATGCTTAGAGTAAAGGCAGTCTCACTGTGAGGCAGGACGGCATTTTGGGTGACGAAGCGCTGTTCCTCGCTTTGCAGGTGACTGTGCTTACATGATGGTATGCACTTGTCAAGACACAGAACTGTGTGCTAACATGGGTGAGTTTTCCTATATGTGGAGTGCACAGTAGTTCCGAATTAGCAAAAGCAACTTTCTCAGATAAAGGAGACACGGGGAACAGGACAAGCTGGACAGATGAGTGGGACATTCATCTTTACCTATGAATCACAGCCCCTGGGAGGGGGGGGGCAGAGCCTGGGCTACATAGGAAGACATTACCTCACTTACACAAAGATGAAGAGGAGGAGAAAAAATGCAGCAAGTAACCCTGGACAGAGTCTTGGCTTAGGAAAAGGTTAGACCTTTAACAGGGCAACAATTCAATCGGCAAATTTAAAAGGTCTATACAGCAATAGATCATTATTGATTTCCTGATTTGGATCATTATATTTTGGTTCTCCCTGATGTTCACATGTGGGGATCTAGATAAAAGGTATATGAGAATTCTTTGTTTTGTTTTTGTGACATTATATATACGTCTTGTACTTAAAATGAAGAGGTTAAAAAATAAAAACAAATTTTGAGGCAGGATTACCCTGTGTATCCCTGGATGTCCTAGAACCCACTCTGCAGACGATTAAAAATTAATTTTAAAAAGAAATATGAGAAAGGGAGACCACTTGAGATCGGCTTCCACCATTTCAATTTTCTCGCAGTGTGCTGTGGAGCCCGTCAAGACTCCAGGGGTGTGAAATTCGTAAGGCTGCAACTAAGCCAGAAAGCTCCCCTGAGGGTTGAGATCAAGCTTTAGAGGCATGGGCACAATGTCTGATATGAATAAAGCACCCCATAAGTGGTGGTGCTATCCTTAGTTATAATGAGCCCGGTATGTAGAAATAAAGAGGTTCCTACTGCTTTCACTGTCCCTGAACTGCTGTCTGAAAAGCCCTTGGAGACAGAGATGCCCCACGGGGCTCCGGAATGCCCCTGCCTGCCGTCCAGCTGTTGTCCTCCAAGCCAGACAACAGGCACACGTCAAGAATCCGAGACTCCTTGCTGCTTGTGAGATGGGTTAGGAACGGATTCAAGACAGAGTCAGCCTTTTCCCAGATAGGTGACGGAGCATCCATCCTCAGGCTTACACAGTGCCAGTGGCGTTGCAGCAACTTACGATCCGGCCTCTTATCAATATGTTAAGTAATTACGTTCCCGCATGTTAAGCTGAATTGTAATATGACTGGATTTTTATGTAAATCATATAGTTTTAATTTGGAATTTGTGCGTAGCCTAAGATAGGATTGCAATCTATAACATTCAGAGTTGAGGCAGTGGAAGGATTTGGAGGAAGAAAAGCTAATCAGTTCATTTATCATTCAGTATTGCTGCTAATGACAACGTATACAGATGTCCTGTCCAGATAAACCTTTCAAGACTTGAATTTCCACTGTTTTTGGGTGGACTGATAATGCTAACATTAAAATAATGTTTAAAAGATTGCTGCAGTGCACCACGCCTTCCGTCCTAGTCTCCTGTGCCTTTCATCCTCAGGGCTGTGCACATTTCATTCCTCGCTGGACAAGCTTACTTTTTTACTTGGCCACATGTCACTCATAGCTTAAGTCTCTCTTAAACAATAATTTTGCAGGAAATCATCCCCACCCTAGCCCCTCTCTCAGATTCCCTCTTTCCTCCCATGCCTCTTGTACCTCTCCTCTTCTTTATTACAGTTCTAAGCCAGTGCCTTTTTAGCCCCCTTCCTAGACTGATTCTGAACCCGTGGGAACAGTGACGGTGTGATTACCTTACTTACCTCTAGTTCCTTTTTCCTAGTGGCAGTCTCAGCACAAAGCCAACACTAAGCCAGCATTTATTAAATGAATAATGAATGGATGCAGGGGCAGATGTGGAGAGACTGAGAAATGGACAGCTGAAGCAATGGGCATTATGTGGGTAGATGTATGGATGAACGGATGGAGAGAGGGCTGGAGGAACAGATAGGTAAATGGGTGTGTAGACGGATAAATGGAGGGAGGGAGAGAGGAAGGGATGGATAGAAGGATAAATGGATGATAGATAAGTAGATGGATGGTGCATGAATGGACAGACAGGCAGAAGGATAAATAGATGGATAGGCAGACAGATGGATGAAGGAATGAAGAAGTGGATAAATAGATACATAAATGGGTAGGCAGATAGATAATTATTTTGTGTCAGCAACTGATTCCTGTAGAAGACCTCTCAATGTGTGTGTGTGTGCATATGTGTGTGTGTGTGTGTGTGTGTGTGTGTGTGATGAGAAACTTCCTCTCTGTCTCCTGTCTACAGGTTAAAAACAAACAAATCAGAGCATAGACATACAGCTATGAAAATCAGACATTTCTATTTCTGAAGTTTGCAACGATGTCATGAATGAAACTTGCATCCATGTATTAGGCATTAGTCACAGTGATTTTCATAAATTTTAGCTTTGGGTAGGTACCATTATTTTAATTTTGATATCTAAGCAGATCATAGTAATTTAAAGTATGTTTTGGTCCATAGCCAAGATTCCATAGGCAAATATCAGGGATCTGGTGAGGTAATCATGGGAATTATCTACGGCTAGGGGTAGAGTTGTTACTCATTCACTGAGCATGTATTTAGTGAACATCTACTATGTGCTCAACACTGCATGAAACTACGTAACTGGGAACAGAACAAACATGGCCTCTTCCCTATTGAGTTCACAGCTTAGTATCTAAGCACTGGCTGGTTCATTCACATCTGTTTAATCTTCCTGTCGCACCATGACTCAATGTGACAATTCCTTGAATTTTACAGATGACTGACACTTGGGTTCGTAAGTTGCTCGTGGTCACACAATCAACAAGTAAATGTGTTGGGATGAGACGTCATGTCCACCAGGTCTTGTGCTCTGAAGCCTTGGCATCAACTGGAAATGGATGTTTGGGTCTGAGAATATGCAGGATGGCACTACACCAGGTCTCCCAGAGAAAGCAGAAGGGAGAGCTGGGGAAGGGGGACTTGGTTGGGATTGGGGCTGGAAAGAAGGGGGCAGTAGCAGAAAGAAAGAGGCAAACATGGCCTCCTGTCCCCAGGAGGAGAATTGTTGGAAAGTCTCCCAGGTAACCCCTGCAAGCAAGAGCTGGTTACATTTAGCAGCCTGCTGCTCAGGATTTTTACATAGGGAAAACCCGTGCGGTTAGCAGTATGCTCCAAAGAGATCTCCAGATCCAGATCCACTTCACTATCTCCATGGCAACTCTGATTTCAGCGATCCCTGTTCTAAATGACCCAAATGACTACTCTATTCTAGCTCATGTTGGCTCTCCTCTGTAAGTTTTAAGGTGTGCTCACTTACCGACAGGGTGTCTTCAACTAGGGCTTGAGACACCTCCTTGGTCCAAAAGATGGAGGAGACACAGATAACCACCTGGCCAGGCCACTGCAAGACCCAGGCATTACGAGGGACCTGGGAAGGAGCAGTGGGGTTGACTGTAGAATCGGTTCTTCATGTGTGATTTAAATTGACTTTCTACAACTATCCCCTACCCTGCCCACACACATCATCCTGATAGTAAAGCAAAAATCCCCTTGTACCATTCTAGAACTCACTGTGTAGACCAGGCTGGCCCCAAATTTCAGAACTCTGCCTGCCTCTGCCACCAGAATACTGGGATTAAAGGTGTGTGCCACCATGCCAGACCCTCAAGTTTGTGCAAAAGAAAAAAAGAATTTCAACTCTGCATGATTTCACCACTTCAAGACTTTTTTTTTTTTTTTTAAATGTGACCAAGGTTGTGTTTGGGCAGCACTCACTCCTCGCTTTTTAGTGCCTGTGTTATATCATGGTGCTGGGGCATGCTCTCTTGGCCAAGTACTCATCCCCTGGTTTTTATTTCCTAAATTTAAGAGCAGGGTGCAGTCCCAACACCACATAAACCAGGCTTGGTGGTGCAAGCCTGTAATCCCAGCATAGGGGAGTTGGAGGCAGGAGGATGAGAAGAAGGTCAAGGGTGTCCTTGGCTGCATAGTGAGTTTAAGGCCAGCCTGGGCTCCACGAGACCTTGTGGATCAAGTCTGCTTGAAGTTGTACATAGTTTTATCACAACACAGTCGTGTTTATCATTTCTATCTCGTCTATGATGCTTCTATGCCATAGAGTACCGCAGCCAGAGTCTGGCTTACAGAGGTGGGGGTGTTCGCTTGGCCTTTAATAGAAAAAGTGTGGACTCATGATAGCTAATTTCACACTGACAGCTCTGGCGCTGTGACTCGGAATTTATCATGGAAAATGGAATTTACATTTTGAAATCTGCCATGTGGGACAGCCCGGTTGGTCTTGAGGAACCTTTGTGTAAAGGCGTTAGGTGCACATGTTTGTTTGCTAGATGGAGTCTTACTGTGGGGTAGGGCCTAGCAGTAAGGCACACACTTAAAGAGGGGACAAAACTCAGATACTGCTAACAGGAGCCTGGCTGGAGGCTGGCTGCTGAAGATTTGTCACAATAGGTTATTTTTTTTTTCTTAGGCTTTGGGTCAGACTTGTTTCCATTAAGGCTTTTGGGGGCTCAGAATGTCACTCACAGGTGATCCAAGTGAATGCCCACCTGGAAGGGGAACTAAATGGAGTCATCAATTCCATGTGACAGGAATCAAAGCCCCTACTCCCATCCTACCCCGATCACCTAGGTAACTCTTCTCTTCCATACCTGCTTCGACCAACTAACTCCACCAGGAAAATGCTCACTGCCCTCGGATTCACAGGTAAAAGGTCCCAGAGAGGCTCAGAGAGGTAGGTTTCCGGAGTACAGTCAAGGTCCAGGTGAACTGGGCCAGCCAGACCACTCCCCCAAGCTTTCTCTACAGTCCCAAAGCCCTGGCATAGCTACGCTATTTCCCGTTTACCTCCACGTATGCTTCAATTCCTTTTCCGATAACTTGCCGCATGCTGGCCAGCATCACCTGCTCCACCTGCTGCAGCCACTTTTCCACCATGCCCTGTGGGGAGATGGAAACAGTAGGAAGCACCAACTGTCAATCAAAGCTGGACAGAGACCGTGGGAGGAGCCCAGATCTCTCTTTGGAGCAGGCTTGGGGATTGCTGCCTTTTCAAGCCAATATTCTTTGACTAATTGCTTTATGCTTATTAACAGCTATCTAGTAAGCGTATCCCCTCTAGGTTCATGCCATCTTCTCAAGCCAGCAGCCTCTCAGGAGGCAAATGAAATCCTTATTTTAATTAATAAATTTCTCCTTTTTATATTTTATTTTAAAATTACGTGTATGCATACATGTCTATGTATGAATATGTACCTGTGAGTGCAAACGCTTGAGGGGACCAGAGGCATGACATCCCTTGGAACTGGAGCTACAGACAGTTGTGAGCCAACTGACAGGGATGCTAGGCACTGAAATCGGGTCCTCTGCAAGAACAGTATTACCGCTTCGGGTGTTGCTCTTTCCCACAGGACTGGCAATCCTTTAAATTTTACTTCTTATCAAATGGCTTGGAGTAGCAGCCCTGGCTGTAATCTAGCATCCAGGAAGTTGAAAGAGAAGGACCTCAAGTTTAAGGCGAGCCAGGCCTAAATAAGTTAGACCCTGCATCCCCCCTCTCCAAAGAGTATACATCTGAAAAGACAAGTTAGGTGGTGTGAGATTTCTCATAGATTCTATGTTTTCTCTGAGTGTGTCATTGTTTACCTGGGCTCTGAAAGCATCGCCAGGTCACCTGGAATCGGATTCTTGCTACTGCGTCTGTCATCTTTCGTCAAGATCTTTTCAGTTTTATTTGTCTCGTGGCCTCCAGTATAATCCCCATCTTAGAGATGGGTGAACTGAGGCCCAGAAAGATGGAGTAACTATTAAAAATGATTTAGTTGTTAAGTCTTGGAACCCACATGTTCTACACCACAAACTAGAGCCCAAGAGCTTAGCCCAGGGAACACCCCCCATCTCTAGTTTACTCTGCTGTGAAGAAGAGAGCTCCCCTCAAACACACAAGGGGATTACTTTGGCTTTTGCTGGGTAGATTGTCTGTATGAATGGGACGGTTTCTTTTTCTGAGCTGACCATGCCCGTGATTTCCAGGTCGTCTGTGAACTCCAGCTTGGCAATTCCTTCAAAGCACTTCTTCAAGTGTGGCTGCACACGGAGTGGGTCCTTTGTCTCTGACAAGATCTCCAGAAGTTCATCATTTGACAGGAAGAAGAACCTAGTTCAAGGTAAAGAGAATATTGTCACAAGGAGCTCTTTTGACGGTTCACATTTCCAACAAGGGGATGCTCCTGGCCGGTGGATCCTCCCAGGTGATTATCAGCTGCATCTCAAGGTCTTTCCTAGGCCTGGCTCCTCTCCTCCATCACCCATCTGGTCTATGAAAGATCACTTTGACTCAGAGAGCAAGAGAAAAAATAGGAGTAGGCATGTATGAGCTCATCACTGCGGGGACTGGAATGCTCGGCTGGTGTTCAGCACTGCTTGTACTTCAGAATCGCTTGGGGAGCTCCTAAGAATTCCAGTACTGAGGTCCAAACACCCAGAGAGTCCTATGTATCTGATGTCTGATAAGGTCTGGGGAAATCTTTAATGTCTTAAATCCCAACTGACCCTAGCATACAGTCAGTGTCAAGAACCTCTAGATAAGAGGAGATTATCTTCCTTGTCTCTAGATATGCCAGAAAAAGTTAAAGGTAGAAGTGAAAACGTGTGTGAAGTACATTATATACTTGCATGAACATGCCTTTATGAAATCCAGCACAGCAGATAATGTGTTTGTAATGAACCTATATGCAGCTAGAGACCTCTTTTTAAGTGGAGGTGGTAGCCACTTCCCCACTTTCTCAGGCTCTGAAGATGCAAAACCAAACCTCCAAAAACAAATGTTCAAGGCATCAGCCTCTTTTATGAACCTGAGACTGAAAATTCTATAAAGAAAGGGTCCATGGGATTATGGTCTTACTTAGTATGATAGATTACAAATTGTCCATAGCGTTTAGTGAAGACCATGATGCCAGCCCAAGCTAAGGGGAACAATTGATTTTGGCATCTCTTGATCCTAGGCCATTTCTCTGTCTTGCTTTGGCTGGCAGAATCTAGTAAACACAGATGTGTTCAAGGTCCAAGCCTTAAACATCAGGAGACCTTATCATTGGCACTCTTGATGCTCCTGTGACTTTGTGAACAAACCTTGGCTAACCTTCCTAGTGCCCAGAAGCAGGAATCCAACCACCAGGCAAAGGATTAGGACCAACTGCCTGTTGGCTATAGTCACATTGAGTGAGCTCCAACAGACACACTGTTCAGTTAAGCCCAGTCCAATGTGCCATACCATACAACTGTGAGCTAAAACAATGGCTGTTGTTTTATGCCTCTAAGTTTTGGAGTGTTTGTTACATAGTAAAACAAACTCATATACTATGGAATTGAGAAGGTAAGAAGGGTTCAGTAACTCCTTTTAGGCTGACTGAATGATCAGAACCTAATGAGGATGTCAGTTCCTACCATTTCTAAGTAACACTCATTTGGGTGATTGATCTCTATTAGTTTATGTTATCTCTATCATGTGCAAGGTCCAAAGACAGAATAACAGTGTAAAATCATTTAGCTTTCTATATTTTTAAGGTAAAACTGGTTCACATGACTATCACCAACAGTTCAAAGTATTCAGTAAAAGTGATTGATTTTATTTTACAAAAAATGCATAAACTCTTGAGATATTTCTATGAGTGGTAATGTGTGTTTAACTCAGATAGAAATGTATCTCAAAGATATTAAATATTTGAGTATTGTATCAAGACTCCTTGGGTTTGAATTGCAGCTTGGACATCTATCAGTTTTGTCTTTCCTGGGGGGAAATCATTGTTTTCTCACTTAGAAAGTCAAGATAATCATAATGATCCCATTGTTATAGGATTATTCTAAAGAATGACTAAGCATAAATCACTTAGTATGGTGTCCTGGCACAAGATGTAACTGCTGTATTAATGTTGGCTATCACTGTTCTTACTAGGAATGGCAGCAAAAGGCTGGAACTAAAGGCCTTGAGGTTGAAGAGATGGTTCAGTGATTAAGAGTGTGCTCTACTCTTGCAGAGGACCTGGCTGCTGGCAATTGCCTACATAGTTCCACCTCCAGGGGATCCAGCGCCCTCTTCTGGACACTGTGGACACCTGCACTCATGGGCATGCTCTCACACATGACACATATAAATAAAATAAAAATATTTTTAAAAGCCCAAACCTCAGGAGGTTTCCAGAGTTTAATCTCTTCTCAATGGTGTGCTTCCAAGTTAGAATTTCTTCTACTGTTTGTGTTTGTCTGTGTTGTCTAAAGGAGGAGCCATTGACCACAAGTAGTTCTTTATGTTAAAAAAATAATATTAAATAAATTAAACTTCACTTTCTGAAACACTTTAAAATGTCCAGTGGTGGTCCGGAGAGGTGGCTCAGCAGTTAAGAGCATTGACTGCTCTTCCAAATTCAATTTGATTTCCAGTAGCCACATGGATGCTCACAACTGTACCAGGGGATCTGACACCCTCTTCTGGACTCCTTGGGCAACAGGCATGTAAGGGGTACACAGACACACATGCAGGCCAAACACCCATGCACATAAATTAAAAATAAAAATAACACACAATGGCCCCAAATGGCTATTGACTGTGAGATAGAGCAAATAAAGAATATGAGAAAAGAGTTATCAGAGAACACTGTGCTGAGCAGATACCAAGGGAATTTCTCTCACAGAAAAACCCAAAAGCATCACCAGTGTAGCTGTAAAACCCTATTCTTTCTTCTTGGTGGAAAGGAGAGAACTAAACTTCGTATCCAGCCACATTACAGTTTCTCGTTGGTATCCTCTGAGGCAGAATCTCATGTAGCCCTAGTTGGCCTTCATCTTTGTAGCTGAGAATGACCTTGAACTCTTGGTTTTTTTCCTGCCTCTGCCTACCAAGTACTGGAATTGTAGGCCTGTAAACCTACATCCTAATTCAGTTGAATGACATGGAGTGACCAGCCATGAGAACTTGACAGGGATAGACGTCCAGGAATGAGATCCCTTGGAAGTAGCCCTCTAAAACCACATTGACTTTTATGTAAAGCATTAAATATTTGTCTTTTTTCCCCACAAAAGTTATGAAAATTACTGTACCAGGAGCTATTAAAGTTAATGCTCAAAAACTTAGCTGACATTTCTGAAACATTTCTGTTTTATATGTAGCTCATTGATCTGCACAGAAAATGAAAGAACTAAGAGTCATTTATGTTTATCCTATCTCAGTTTCATCCTGAGAGCCGGAGTCTCAGATAGATTTGCTGAAGGTCTTCCAGTGAATGAATAAAAGATCTTGGATCTCAAGAGATAACTCTTTAGCTCTAAACACTAGGCCTTAATCACAACTATTATGCCCTTTCCTGGACAGAAACAGCAATATTAACTGGCCTAAGTGAAGATGTAACCCCTACAGAATCCGTTCAGCTTCACTCTAGATGGTGGCTAAGGAGGCATGTTAATTCCTAGATGCCATCTCTTGTGGAACAGGGAAGCAGAAATGGAATTTAATTCAAATCTAACATGAAAAATGTAATTCCATCTACATATGGCCTTGGAGGGTAGGTCCTAATGAAAGAACAATCCTGCATTGCATACCTCGGGAAAAAGAGTCTCTTCTTTTCCAGGTACTCATTCAACCCCCGTTGGATGTCTTCCAATAGAAGGTTGGCTTCCTGAAGCTTCTCAGTCATTCTTGGCTGGTCGGCTGCCACCAGGACCCTGGTATCTTTCACCTGGGTTACACACACACACACACACACACACACACACACACACACACACACACGGTGAGATTCACTATGCATACTTGAAATTGGTCATTGTAATGAATTCGTGATCAACCCACCAACTAGTGATGCTGCCAAGCCAGCTTCCTCCTGATGCTCTCCTAGTCCCACAGGGCTGGCTGCTCAGTGAGCATGGCTGCATTCCTCCAATCATGGTTGACTTGGTTGATTGGCATCACAATCTCGCCAAATCAATTTCATCTGAACATTTTGGAGGTCTAAAACTTAGATCATGGCATTCTGTTCTGGTCTGTGGAGAACCCTTGATCAAGGAACTTTGGGGCCGTGTAAGGATCATCTCCTGCCAGATGTTTTGTGGCCAAGCAGGCTAGTTGGCAGGGGGCACCCCAAGTGGGAAAAGTGGGGAGAGGAGTATGGGCAAGGGATGTACATAGAGTGTTTGTGAGCTCCGGAGGTTTCCTCAACTCTGGTGACACTTTGGAAAGCCAGAATACACTTCTATTCTTGTGTTCTATGAGTCACCCCGTAATTTTTCTTGGCCTACTCTTAGTGAGTTTCTATAGCATGCAACCAAAAAATAATGTCAAATCTGCTCCACTGACTGCTCCATATAACTGCCCTCCATACCTCACCGCCAGAGTCCAGACTACAAGTCAGCTACGCAGATATACTCCACCGAGATAAATTCTCGGATCATGTACCACATTTTTTTTTTCAAAAAAGGAAAACTACATCCTCTCAGGAGATGCACCTTACGCATGTGTAACTCATCCTTCAAGGCTTGGTTCTAACGTCACCTGAGCCAGTGTATTACTGGACACTCCCGGGCAAGTGTATTACTCTCTATCATCGATACGCTGTTTGCACACACCACAGCTTGTGTTCAAGCCTGTGTGCCTCCTAACAGAGTTGTGAGAGAGTGGAATTCATGTTCTTCTTAAGTAGCTTCTGACTTCTAAGATTATATCTGAGTCATCACATTTACCAAAAAGAAAATCATTAATAACTGACCATCAATATGCACCACTATTTGAAATCTAAAAGGATTCCTAACCTATGAAAATGGTATTGCATTGCTCTTTAACAAAGCCTTCTATCTCATTAGACATGATAGATAAATAATGTAAACTGCTAAGAACCATCTTCAGGCAGGTAAGATTTCAAAGAACTTCCTCCTTTTCATATACCATATTTCCATACTTGAAGTTTTAATAAATTATGACAATGACATAAAATGTCAATTTGAAATTTTACTTGGTAGTTTCAGGGGACGTAGACACAATGCGCCATGATATTATTTTCTGCTGGTGAGACGCAAGAGATAAAACTCACCGCCTGAGCCATCAGTGACTTCCAGTAACTGTCCACAGTGCCAAATTTCTTGCCCTCTTCTGGCATCTGGGCTATGATGTCCTCCGAGCTAAAGATTGGTTCCAGGTACAGCCAAGTGACTTGGCATTTTAACCAGGCGTCCAAATTTTCCTGTACCCGAACTAGCTTTTCTTCCCATTTCTGTGGATTTAGAATTCCACAACTGAGTCAGTAACGGCAGCACACACCCAGTGAATGCACACAGGGATGGATTCGTTGATTCATTGACTCATTCACTTGTTTAAAAAATATGTATTGAAATGTATCACATGTGGTTACTGTTTCAGGGGCCATGGATATAATGAATCAAAGAGAATCAAGGCTTTTGCCTTGTGGCGCTCACATTTTAGTTAGACAATAATAAAGCTTATTCTTTGATGAGTGATGACCAGGGATATCTATATCTATATATCTATATTTATCTCTCTCTATATATATGAAAGCAATTTAATTCAGCCACCTTATGAGATATTAACACATCTACGTGGGTTGGAGAGATAGCTAAATTGATAAAGTTCTTTCCTCTATACCAGAATTCAGGTTAAAACAAGCAAACAAGCAACAACAACGAAACTGGGTGTAGCTGCCTATGCTTGTAATCCCAGTGCTGGCAAAGTGGAGACAGGCAGATCTCTGAGGTTTTCTGACCAGTCAGCCCCGCCTTCCTGACAAGCTCCTGACTGATGAGAGCCCTTGGCTTAAGAACAAAAATGGCAAATTGATTGCTGCCCAAGACTGTCCTCTAGTTCTCTCTCTCTCTCTCTCTCTCTCTCTCTCTCTCTCTCTCTCTCTCACACACACACACACACACACACACACACACACACACACACACAAGATATAATGAAGATATTACCAAACCTCATGTTTACAGATGCAGACCCTGAACACAATCGTTCAGACAGCTTCCCGAGATCACTCAGCTAACAGTAAAGACAGAACCGGAATACAGACCCGAAGGCCTATGCCACTTTTTCTTTCTCCCTTGAGCTCCAACCCTAAGATATGCCCACCCCTGTGACCTATCCAGCTTCTATAGACAATGATCAAGGGAGGCTAAACTCTTAGGGTCATGTGGCTCGTATTCTAGATTGCTATAGACTATAAAATACTTGGCAAATATATTTTTGTTTGGCGTCTTCAAACTCATCTACTCTTCCGGTAGACTGCGCACTGGTGTCATTATTGCTCCTAGTCTTCTGTTCATTTGTCCTTTTCATTTTTCCATTCAGGGGAAGGAAGTTTAGTTTTTCATTGAACTTGAAACCCCACCCCTCCTCTAAGAAACTGAGAGCCAATGGGCCATAGCAAGATACACAGGGCTATTTTCTTACCCGAGTCTCTGTTTCAATTGGCTTGATGAATGCAGAGCCACACATTGTCTGGGTCTTTATCACGTGATCATCGAGTAGCAGTTGAATGTCATCAACCGCACACAAGATGTTTGTATCCTGCCAATAAAGATGACCATATGTAGTCAAAGTCAAAATCATGAGGTCCCTTTGCCTTGCCTATCCCATGGTCCATGGTGATTCCAGAAGGCCTTGCAGTATATATTCCCACCTCAGGGAGACAGGAACCTTTGTCTCATAAGGTTTTCTCACAATAAATATTTATTTATTTTGAGACAGGTCTCAATATAGATGTTCCCATGTCAGTCTCCAAAGCATAAGAACACACGTGTATTACTGACCCATATTGGCTACTAAAAGTGCTTATTGTCGGGCAGGAGCAGTGGGGAATGTCTGTTATCCCAGCAATCTGAAGGCTGAGGCTGAAGGCACATCATGAGTTTGAGGCCAGCCTGGGCTACTTCACAAGATCCTGTCTCAATAAACACAATGAAACAAATGAAAAGAAGTAACACTTCCCGTTCAACTTATTTGCAGAAATCAACCTAACCCAGACTTGCTACTAGAATCTATTGGGGGAGAAGACAGTCCTCTTCCCCAGTTTCCTGCCTCTCTGGGAGCATCAGCTTCCAATCAGTGAGTAAGACCCAGATTCATGTTCTGCAGCCAGACATAGGGGTTCTTGTGGTTCTTTTAAAATGAAATTTTGAGATTATGTTTTATATCAATTCATGAGCTCTTTTGAAATGTCTGCTAACAGATAGGGCACACTTATTAAGTTAATTACACTTAATCCCCTTGTAAACAAAGCTTTGCTTGCTTGTTTTGTGTATAGTGGTCACATGATAAAAGTACACAGACATGTAAGCCCAGGTTGGAGACTTCTATCTTATACATGCAGCAGTTCTATCTCGCTCTCATGTAAAGGTATTGTGTCTTCAGTGTTCATGGACGGCACTCTCTTCCCTGACCCACTGTGGCAGATAGACTGCTAAGAGTCTGCCACCTACAGCAAACCTGGTCTTGCTTGCTTTGATTTCAGCTCCTTCAAGCCTGTAGACACAGAAGTGGATGCAGAATGAATGGTGTAATTGTCGAAATAAATTAAATCTGGCTTAGAATATATTCTTCTGTCTATCTTATCTCAGTGTGTCTAGAAAGCATGTCTGGCTAGCTATTCAAAGACTGGCATCTTCGCTGTCATTTTACTATTGCTTCTTGTTGATAGCTACTTCAGTCATCAACTTTGAAGATGGATAAGGAATAATGAACCTGCTCGTAGGCCCATAGCTGAGTTCTGCATTGCAGCTCAGCAGCCTCTGGAGCAGTGTCTGACCCAATCAGAATGTGCAACTCCAAGCTTATTGAAACCATGAGACCCAGTAATGAACTCATTTGCCTCCAGTTCTCCTGCCTCCACTCAGCTCATGGGTGGTTCTTATCCAAGGGTGAAACCAAGGCACTGCGACCATCAAAATCAAAGGGAGAAGTCACAGGAGGATGATCTGTTGTTGAGAGAGAAGTGCTCAGATCTTCAGGGTCTGGGTCTATGTTGACTATTCAAAAAATGGAATGCTGGGGGCGGGGTGTGGCTATGTGTTAGCGTGCTTTCCCAACAAGATCAAGACTCTGAGTTCAACCTCCAAACTAGGAGAGTGAGTGGAGATGCTCAGGCTCCCAGAGGGTAGAAGGGCAGGAAAAAAATAAATTGTGATTTTCTTGTCAAGTATCCCAAATGATTCTCCTGTGCAGTTGGCATTTGAGATGCTGTTCTAGGTGCCCATGGGGAGCAGTATGTGGCTATCTGTGCCCGCCACAATGTACTGGGCAGCAGCCCCCATAGCCACCCTGTACTTCATCTTAAGAGCAAACTAGACCCCGGGGTTATCTAAGGAATGCACCTCCACATCCATTGCATAGACTCATATGCTATCTGTAGGTACCCATGAAAATCAGGACATTTATATTTGTACAATTGACACTAGTGTACATGCCTGGGAACTTGCTAGTACTTGAGAGCCTCAGGCCCCACTCTAATCTCCCCAGTTTAAAGAGACCCTGAAGAAATTCCTATGCACATCAGCGTTCAGGAAGTAGGATGTGTTGTTGTCTGCCTCTGGTATGTTTCTGAAGGCCTTGAGTTGTGTGTGTGTGTGTGTGTGTGCGCGCGCGTGTGCGTGTGTGTGCGTATGTGTGTGCGTGTGTGCGTGCATGTAGTTACACAAGCCAGTGTTTTTCTTGAGACATGCTAATTCAGGAGATGCGCTCCATTCCTTTGCACTAGGTCAACCTTATGATTTGGAGACACACAGCTCCAGCAGCATGTGAGAGCCAGGACGATGGAGGAGAGGCAGACAGAGGAAACACACAGGCGGAGCGTTATTCTTCTATGAGGTCTGTTGCAACGCTGGGGGAACCACGTCTAGATCTATTTCACAACACCCAGGGCTGCTTCCAGGGCGTTCCCATTCGTCTGACTCACTGTGTCCCTGTATTTCACGAAACTGAACGTCATGTTGACCCAGTCCATCTTCATCTTCTCCAGGTTTTTCTCCAGAGAATATTCCTTGCTGGCAGCTGCGCTAATGGGCTCCAGCCTGAGGAGAGGACACACCATCAACATCAACAGGGGCTGGCAGAGGAAACCCCGGGAAGCAATTTTAGCACCGTCTTAAAGAGATTTCCAGAAGCTTTCATTTCAACAAGATGTTTTCTCTAAGGTTTGCCATCTCTGTCCAACGTTCTGAGTACAGTTGTCTTTTGGGGGCTGTTATAAGTTGAGTATTTCTCCGAAATTCACACCGCAGTTCTAATCCCCAATCACTCAAATGTGACTATATTTAAAGAGCGTTTAAAGAGGTGATCAATCATATTAAAATAAGACCATGAAGGCTGACCCTAGTAAGCACTCACTGATTCCAGACTGACTTAAAACCAGCATAAGAACAAACTAGGCCCTCTGAATGTGGGTGACAGTTGTGTGGCATGGGCAGTTTGTGGGGCCACTAGCAGTGGATCCAGTATTTATCCCTAGTGCGTGAACTGGCTCTTTGGAGCCCATTCCCTATGGAGGGATTCCTTGCTCAGCCTGGATACAGGGGGAGGGCCTTGGTCCTGCCTCAAGTAATGTAACAGACTTTGTTGACTCCCCATGGGAGGCCTCACCCTCTCTGAGTGGATGGGGGATGGGGTGGGGAGAAGGCAGGGGGAGCAGAAGAACAGGAGAGAGAGAACTGGGATTGGTATGTAAAATAAGATTTTTAAAAAAAATAATAAATAAATAAATAAATAAAGAAGAAAAGCAAGAAAGGGATGAACTAATTGACAATAATTTACTCCATTCAAAATATCATCATTGGAAAATGAACTAAATTAATTAAAAACTGTTATCTGGCCAGGTGTGCTAGTTAATCCCAACATTTAGAAGGCAAAGGCAGGCAGATGTCTATGAGTACAAAGTCAGCCTGATCTATACAGCAAGTTCAAGGCCAGGCACAGGTACAAAGTGAGACTGTCTCAAAGCAAAACTGTCAGCCATTTGCATTCTTATTTTCTTGGTAAGCTTTTGAAATCCAGCCTACATTTTTGAGTTCCGTACACTGGATCTAGATTAGCTACATGCCAAGGGCCCAGTAGTAGCCTTTAGCTTGGCTCCTGTCTACAACAGTACTCTAACCTAGAGGATTTAAGCAAGGCAAAACAAAACAAAATACAATAGCCAGGCCTAAAGCCCCAATTTGATCAGCAGATTGGGTGGGGCCTGAGAACATGCTTTTCTAACTAAATTCCCTATGATGAAGATGCAGTAACTCTAGGTACCAAGCCCTGAGAACCATAAGCATCCATTCCTCAAGGTCCCATCCAAGTTGTCTAGCAGACTTGAACTAATATAAAATCTCTCCATCTATTCCTTAAAGGAAGTATGAAAACAGAATTCTGAATATCACTGATTTAAAAAATAGCATGTGAGGGCCTGGGAGATGGCTAAGTAAGTGTGTGCTTGCCATACAAGCAGGAGAACCTGAGTTAGATCCCCAACACTCAGGTGGAGAGTTCTTGTGGTGAGAGGTGGCACACTCTTAGAAACCCAGCACCGAGGAGACAGAGGCCAGAAGATCCCTGAGACTCACTGGCCAGACAGCCTAGCCTACTTGGTGTCTAAGGAAGGACACCCAAGGCTTACCTCTGTCCTCCACTTGCACATACATATACACACATGTGCTCTCTCATATATGTACCCCATTCATAAACACACCTATAGTGCTCCCTCCAAAAACAAATAGAAGTAAAAATAGCCATTCAAATAATGCAAATTCTCACCCTGCAATTCCGGGGCACTTGGGGAAGGAGAAAACAAAAAAGCCTGTTCATCACAGTGTGCTCCATGGGTTTTAGCAGTTGAAGATCACTTCTAGTTTGCTGCTTATTTTAAGAGGAAACAGGTCCATGAAGGCTCAGTGGTTTTGCTCCAAGTTCTAAGAGTTGGGCAGAGTCTCAGGTTCACAGAAGACATTTGTTTTTCATTTCCCATTGAAATAAAACCCCTAACTCTTTCTAGTCCCAACTCTACAGCAGGAAAAGAAACAGCCACTTGGACCAGCCAGCCCAACCGGAGGTCACTAAAATCTTTAATTCGCTTTGACTTAGGAGATCACAGTGACCCCTGAACCAAAACCTGTCTAGAACAAAGGATGAACCTTACTTTTCAACAAATTTGCCAAATCCAAATTCCAGCATGTTCGCTAGGCACGTTGTCTCTGTGGGCTTTACCTCATAGCCAACAATCTCGCTGATCTGCAAAGGAAGGACAGAGATGAGGGGGCGGGGTGGAAGGGAGTGCTGCCCAGTAGAACTTCTATAAGGATGGAAAATTAAATTATCTGTACTGTCCAGAATCGTAGTCACTCGTCCCCGGAGGCTGTTGAGCACTAAAGGTGCTAAGGGGAGTGACGAACTGGACTTTCATGTTCACTTAGTTTTAGCTAAGTCATACTCCATTAAATGACCACACAAGACTGGTGGCTGCTGAGTCTGACATTGTCGGTCTGAGGGTTCGGGAGGCTGTTGCAGAGCCACGCTGCTGCTGGTTTCTCCCAAGTTTGTCTCCCCGTCAATCCACGAACATTCAAAAGACTGGGACAGAACCTCAGCTGTGCTTCCGGGGAAGCTGGGTCTGGGACAAGCTGAGGTGAGTACTTGCTGAGTGAGTCAAACAGACTCTCCAGAGCTCCGAGCTGGGGAACAGCAAGGATTCCCTTCAAAAGAGCATTAAAGCAGGGCTTGTGATCCTGGCTGCTCAAGAGTCTGAGGAAGGAGCGTCATCATTTTTAGCCCTCCAGAGTGAGTTCAAGGCCAGCTCAGCCAGCATAGTGAGACCCTGCCTCAAAATTAAAAGTGAAAGGTAATTAATGGCACAGCACCCACCCAGGTTCAATCCCCCGTACTGCTCAAAACAGAACAAAGAAAAGTCCCCCATCAACTCCAGGGGGTTACTTGTCAGGGTCCCCATCTGGCTGGTGTGACACTGCCTCAGGCTCACCTCTTCAGCACAAACACCCCTAAGGAAGCTCTGCGTGGAGCTTCTGGAAGACCCAGGTAGCACCAAGGCCCCCAGAGATGAGGACTGAAGCAGGAATGGGTGTCTATCTGAAAAAATAATCTGTTGCTGGGATTTTCCTTTACTTGGCTGCCAGAGGATTAGAAAACGTCAGAGCAGAAAGGAGTGTGGGTGCCATGTCACACTCTGTCTTACCCTGTGTCCTTGGCACCTGACACTTGGGAGAGGGCAGTATTTGTGGGGGGGAAAGTCTGACTCAATCAGAGAACTCGAATAGCTTCCAGTCTGGGTTCTGGGGACCTCTGGAGGAGCAGTATGGTAATAAACTAAAAATAACGAGCTCTTATTGGGGGCGTATGATGAATGGGATTGTTTCAGGAGCTCCCACACTTACTTTAGTATCCTAGCACCGCGAAGAGCTTGCTAATGTGTTTTCCCTACATTCCATCTAAAGAATCAGAGCTGGAGAAATGATCTTATCTAAGGCCATCCAGATAATACAGAGCAGAATTGGCATCTGGATCCAATTCTGACTCCAACAAATGCTATCCACCAAATGCTAATGTCTGTCACAGGTCCCCTATGTACAGCTGTCTGTGCCATACACTGCACAGCTCTGGACAAAGGGAGCAGTTGGCAGGATTTTACAGAGCACAGTCTGCACAAGTAGATTTGTAGCCTTGACTTTTCATTGATGATTGAAAATATCTGATATCTATCTATCTATCTCTCTACCTACCTACCTATCTTCTATCTATCTATCTATCTATCTATCTATCTATCTATCTATCTATCTATCCATATATCTATGTGTTTGTATGTGCGTGCCACATGCACCTGGATATCGTAGCACACATGTGGAGGTCAGAGAACAATTTGCAGGAACAGGCTTTCTCTTTCTGACATATAGGTCCCGGAGACTGAACTCAGGTTGTCAGGCTTGGGGGCAAGCTCCTTTACCTGCTGACTTGTCTGGTTGCCCCTGTTTATTCTTTTATACATTAAAATACAGCAACACACAGACTCTCTCAGGGGCTAAAGTACACTTACATAAAGCATTCAGCATAGTAATTGGCTCACAGCGAGGGCTTGGAGATTGACGGGACTTTCAGATTATTTTTAAAAATATAAATATTGACAAGGCATTTTTTTCCTCTAATTTTAAGATCCCGGAACAATGCTGTCTACGTAGACACCAGTCCCTAATGGCCTCTAAGCCTCTCAGACATGCTTGTCTGACTTGAGTCGTGCTCTGGGTATAGGACCAAAGACTTCATACTACTGCTCAAGGTTGATGGATACACAAATGGCAGTATGTACTAGTTTAGGTAGCATATATCTACGAAAATTATTTTACTTATTTCCTTTTATTTTAGAAAACATAGGTGAACTGGGAACAGTGTAATGGAAGGCCACTTGTATCGCCTGCCATGTGCAAGTTACTAGGTTTAAAATCCACTACCACAAGAAAGAAAAGAGAATGCTGCAGTCTTCATGCGTGACTGCAAGAAGCATTAGCACACGTGTACGGCTGGCCATGTGTAGCACATGGTCCTAGGGACAGCACCTTCAGAACTTTAGGGCCAGTTTCAGTTCACAGTACTGACTATATGTTTCCTTGTCTGATCTTGTTTTAAACCCAAACAACAAGACCTCTAAGTTCAGTTGGCCAGAAACCACAGCCCAGCCATCCTGGGATCCCAGTAAACCTGTCTTCAGCCCTTGAGACATCACAGATGGTTTAGATTTTAGAGCCCTTTTTTGCCGGGACCAGAATCTATGTAAATCTCTCCTGAGGGGAGACATTAGGGCAGATTGTAGCTTTGCCTGGCTTGGGGCTGTCACAGGTGTGGGACCCTAAGTGGGGCCGGACCCTAGGACATCTGGTGACCCATGTCCTTTCTTCCTACTCAGCCTGCTGGATATCCACTCTAGAGACTC